CCTGTGCTCTATTCAGAGATGAGAGACTGTCTCATAATTCCCTGCAGTGTGTCACTATGGCTTAGGCACCCAGGCCTTTGCTTATGTATTAGGTCTCTGTCTCACCCAAGTTGCAAGCACCGCTGAGAGCGGGCACCCTTAGAGCCACCTCATTCCAGTCCCCAGCATTATGTCTGGAGATGCCGCGTTTAATCGCCACCAGACACGCAGAGCTGCAGGCGCTCAGGGATTAAACCTTGGGTCCAACCCAGCGGGGACCTGAGAATCTGGAAGGCTGTGGAGCGCCATGTAACCTCCGGGGCCGAGCAGACTTTGTTTAGGTCCCGGCTCTTGACCCGGCTCCCAGAGCTGTACTCAACACAAGTTCGCGTTCAATGCAAGGGGGAGCGTCGTTCAAGTCTGAGTGCGAAGGCGGCAGGGAGCCCCCGCAGCGACGCAGTCGGGGCTCTGGAGAGACCGGGGCCGAGCGGGCCCGGGAGGAGGAGCGGTGCTGTGGGCCCTCGCGCAGCCGGGCTGCGCCGCCCCGTCCCTTCGCACGCGCTGCCCGACACCGCGCGGGGCACCGAGCAGGTGCTCGGCGGGTGAGCGCCCGGGGTTCGCTGGGGCTCCAGGAGGAAGGCCGGCTCGCACGCGGCCGCCGGCTTCCGCGTAACGGAGTGGTTCGCCGAGACCCAATCAGAACGCGGCTCCTGGCTTCCGGCCCCGCGCCACCCAATGGCCGTGCACGGGAGGGAGAAGGGCGTGAAGCCCAGCGGTGCCATTATCCTTGAGGACGAAGGGTTTGTGGACCTGGTGCCACGCACTGGGCCCTCCGCAGGGACGTGATGCGCCTGACCCCGGACCACCTGGGCATGATCGAAGGGTCCCAGCGCGCATCGCTGCGGATGCGCCTGTGTTGTTGGGGAGGGTCTTCGCCGCTCGGGTTCAGGAGGCTGTACCCACCCCTGCAGAGGAAGTGCCTTGTCTAGGCTCCATCCTCGCACCCCGCCTGTTGTTGGCCTATTCTCCTTGGGATTCGCAGACCCCAAAGCCGCCTTCGTCTCCTGAAAATGGAAGAAGGAGGCGTGGAGCGCGGAAAACGTCCAGAGGAGGGCGCGAGGCACACGGGATCTGCTCTAGGTGAGGAAAGTGGGGGTGAGACGTTCTGCAGCATCTCTTGGGAGCGAGCCAGGGCAGGCCCTTTCTTCCCGCAGCCACACCTACACCGCACCCTTCTCTTTAAGGACCCCAATTCCTAAGAATCCGATGAACCTTCTCTTCTAAAATTCTCTTTCCCAGACCTGGAGGCTTCCTTGCGTTCAACGGTAGCGGGTCCCTCTGGCCCTAACTAGGGGTTGGGGCAAGGCAGCAGTTGGGGTTTGAGGTCTTTTGCCTTCTTTCCTCTAAGTACTTAGATTATTGCTTCCAATAGAACTTTCCTCAGTTATGGGAATGTTCTATCTGTGCTGCCGAACACAGAAGGCACTAGCCACATGTGGCCATTTAGCACTTGAAATGTGGCTCGTGTGCCCAAGGAAGTGAGTTTTTCAGTAGGCATGGTGCATTTCTGACGGGCCTTGGAAAGAGGCCAGAAGTGCACTTGGTTCGCTGGCCTGCCCCTGTTTCTCAGGGCATATCCTGCCACGGGAAGCTGCCTAGAGCCCTCTGTAGAATTTAATGACTGCCACCTTTCATTTAGGATGAAAACAGGTGTTTTTGTGTGCTCCAAAGGCACTGAGGTGTGGGTTTTGTTTTTTTTGTTTTGTTTTGTTTTTTTGAGAAATGTTTCCACTGAAATGTCCATATGTAAGGCCTTTAACCAGGGAGAGGTGCCAGCTTCCCTCTGAAAAAAATTCAACCCTTCTTTATGAGAACGCGCTACAGTTCTGGAGGCCTGCGGTGAGAAGGGATGGTACTCTTTCTGAAAAGCTCCAGCACCAGCTTATCCACACGTGAAAGAGGCCCTAGCGGTGCTGGGGCTGTTCGTGGGGCTTCTGCCACAGGCACCCTTGGCCATTCACAGGTGCACACACACACACCCAGGAAAGTACCCCTGCCCAGAATGTGGCATCTGCTTCTCCTGCTCCTCCCTCCTGCTCAGCCATGGGCACATCCACTCTGATGGCACTGAGCGTGGGGAAAGCTCCCAGGGAAAGTTTGCCCTGAAAGCCCACCAGGGGATCCATTGGGCAAACATGGAGAAGCCAAGGGGCGCCTGGGCGGCTCACTCAGTTAAGTGTCTGACTCTTGATGTCGGCTCAGGTCATGATCTCAGGGTCCTTGGGATCAAGCCTCATGTCGTGCTCTCTGCTCAGCGGGGAGTCTGCTTCTCCCTCTCTCTGTGTGCTCTCTCTCTCTCATAAATAAATAAAATCTTAAAAAAAAAAAAAAGATGAGATTCCTTCATTATTCATGGCATGACTTTCTCCCAGGACTAACACCGCTTGCTGGAGTCTGGGTTCATGGTGCAATGACATTTGAGGCAAAGGTTGGGTTCCAGTTAGTCTATAAGGTGAAGTCCATGTGTGCTGTAATCGAAGGTTGCACTGCCAGTTACTTCTCTCTCACTGAGTATGCAACAAGAAGAAATTAATCTCAAAGCCTTGCACCCAGCTTAGAGCTGCCAGTGGAATGCAGAGGACATTCTAGGTTCAAATCTCACCCCTGCCTTTACTAACAGGTTTTGGGCAAGCTGTGCAACTGTCTGATAACTGTCCTCATAAGGACTTTGAAAGGTGAGTTTCTTTTTTCTTTTTTTCTTTAAGTTTTTATTTATTTAAGTAATCTCTACACCCAACATGGGGCTCGAACTCACAACCCCGAGATCAAGAGTCACACACTCCTCCGACTGAGCCAGCCAGGTGCCCCTGGAAGGTGAGTTTCAATTGAGATCATCTATATCGATGTGCCTACAAGGTGGCACCTGGTACTTAGTTGGCCCTCAACACCATTTCCTTTTGTCCAAAACAAGGTGTCTTTAGTCTTTATGTGGCCTCTTGGTGTGTAGACTCCCTAGATCTTCTCCATCCTTCTCTACAGTGGGCAGTCTTCAAGAGGAGCCCTGCTTGTCCCTGTGCCCAATGTGGATCCAGGAATTTATACAGAAAAGGAGCAAGAACCTCTGCTCTCACATTAAGTCCTGGGTGCTTCTCTCTCCAAAATATCTCCCACAGTTAAGAGCCTCTAACTCTGCCTGATTCCTCGGTCCTGCCTTAGTAGCTCCCACCAGGACGGTGGCAAGCCAGGCCAAATGGGGCCTTCCCAGCCCAGGGCCAAAGGGCTAGGCTGCACCTCAGCCCAGCCTGCCCTCCCATTTCCTGCTTATGGGAAGAGGGCTCAGCACCTTTTCACCTCAGTAGTTAATCATCCTTCCTGTGCAATGTCAGCATCATTGACAGTACATCATTACCATTTAGGCAAAATGTCCACAGATTCCTTTCCAGCCTTCTGTTTAGTCACTTTCTTCCAAATGAAATGGTTTGCTGTCCATTGGCCTTTGTATTCCCTTGGAGCCTAAGTTCTTCTTATTTCTCCAAACTGAACTATGTATAGGCAGAAAGCATAGACACAAAGCTATCAGTTTGCCGTGCAAACAGACTACCAGAGTAATTTTCCGAAAACATTGGAAGGTAATTCACTCCTCTAGACTGATTTGGAGCTCCCCAATGTGCAGGATGAAGCCGTCCAATATCTGGTGCCAACATATCCTTTCGATCCTTCAGTTTTACCCTAACAGTATTTTGTACTGCATCAGAAAGTGTCCTCATTCCCTCCACACTCAGAACTTTCCTGAATTCCTGGCTTTGTACCAGAGATCTTTATGGCCATGGAATTCAGCTGTTTATTCAACAGATGTACATTGAGCACCACTGCCCTCCCTAAATCCTACCCATTCATAAACCAAACTCATTTCCCACCTGATGCATCAATCTGGAAAGTCATTCAGAGGGACTCTGTCTTACTTATTTTGGCAATCTTGACATTCCACCCGCTCCCCCAGTAGTTTGTTCAATAAACCGTCACTGTGCTTGGGACAGAGTAGAACTCAATGTTTACTGCAGTTGTGTGTGTGTTTCCTACTTCCTCTGTTCAAAGTCATCGTCCTTGGAATCTCTTGCTACCTAGGTTATCTTGTGAATTCCTGACATGTTGTCTTCACTCCTTGCAGGCTTTGGGGTAGCGTTTTGCCCATAGCAGGTGCTTTAAAATTTTTGATTAATGGGTTGGAGAGATACGTATGTAACCAGCTTTAGTATGTAGCAAATGGCATATTTCCGACCCTCAGATCCCCTGGGAGATGACCCTGAGCTGGTGAAACCCTGCACACTTACACAGGAGTGGCAGCCGATGGAGTGGGGGCTGACTGGTTCCAACAGCAATTTTCCTATACCTTTCACATACATGCTTGCAGCACTGTTATCAGTTGGAAATGCGTATGCCTCACTCAGCTATGAACTCCATTCAGAGCATGGTGCATGACTTATTTCTAAACTGTCAAGCGCTACGCTTAGTACATTGGACAGATGTGTCATGTAAAATAAGATTGAACCTGAGAAGAGGCCAGGAGCTCAGACTGTGACAAGCGAATTCGGAGAGTGTGGGGGAAGGGAGCCGAGTTCAGCAGTTTGAATAAAAGCCCGGTCAGCCCCGGGTTTAAAATCTTTGTTCCTTCTCCTTACTAGCAGTATCCCTCTGAGAGTTTCCTTATCAGTAGAACCGGATGACGACCATCACTCCATACAATGGTAGCAAAGAAAAAAAGATGTGTTAAGAGGGGAACAGTGCCGGCGCGCAGGAAACGCCAACGTTAATTTCCCTCCCAAAAGGGCACCAAGGAAGTTGTCCCAATTCTGAGAAAGCCACCCGGGGTAATCTCAGCCCCGGGTTGGCCGGAGCGGCTCCGTCACTCAAATCCTTCCCTCCGTCAGCGAGGCAGCCCCTGCCAGAGAGCAGAGGCCAGTCACTGACACCAGGGCAGCTCGCAGCCGCCGCCCGCCGCGGATCTGGCCGCAGGCACCCGGCACGGAAGGTCGGCTTCCTGCCCTTACGCTTCCGTCGGCTTCGTTCAAACAAGCCGCTTTCGCCAGCACCCAATCAGAACGCCCGATCTTCGGCCGCCGCCCAATGAGCGCGTGTAATGGGGGAAAAAAAAGGGCGTGAAGCCCAATCGCAGCGCCATCACACTTGAGGGCAAAGAGGTTAGGAAGCCGGCATGGCGCTCCGGTCAATAAAATCGATAGCTGGAAGCTGCCTGTGTTCCAGGCTAAGGCGGTGCGGTAGCGGCGCCGCCATCTTCCCCGAAGGCATCTTCCGGTGCCTTTCACCGAAGTTCGGGCAGGAGTTTCCTGAATAACAGCAAAAGGTTTCCGTTAGCCCCGCAAGGCGGCTGATTCCGATTCCCTCAGGGCCTCCCCAGGCACGCTCAGCTCCGGGCCGGCGGGGGTTCCCAAATCCCGGGGTCCGCCGGGGGTCCAGGCCGGGACGGGGAAGGCCGTGGCGCCGGCTCCTGGGGTCCAATGGCGCCACCTTCGGCTCCGCTCTCCGCGCGGGGACCAGGAGAGGCCGGACCCGGCCGGAGAAGGGGAAGGAGGCCGAGGGCGGTGAAGTTCGCGGACGTGGCCGTGTACTTCTCCCCGGAGGAGTGGGGCTGTCTGCGGCCCGCGCAGAGGGCCCTGTACCGGGACGTGATGCGGGAGACCTACGGCCACCTGGGCGCGCTCGGTGAGGCCCGGCCCAGTTCGCTTCCGCGGGGCCCGAAGCGTTGGAGGAGCTTAGGGCGGGGGGTTGGGTGGGGGCGACGGCACGGAGTCCAGAGTGTCCAGGGACCTGGCCCGTGACTAGGTTGTGTCAGGGGAGGAGGACAGGGGCTTGGCAGGAGGTGACACCGGGTAGATCTTTTACCCAGCCTTATCTAGGAGCTGGACGTCTGACTGGTTCTCCTTCCCCAGGGTGCGCAGGTCCCAAACCAGCCCTCATCTCCTGGTTGGAACGAAATACCGATGATTGGGAACCGGCCGCCCTGGATCCGCAGGAGTGCCCAAGGGGGTTAACAGTCCAAAGAAGTGAGTGAAAAATGCCTGTGCAGGGCCTGCAGCCTCCAACGACTCCGTCTAGAGTGTTGGTGGCTAGGGGTACCTCTGGCCCATGCCGTAATGCTTTATTTACTGTGATTGTTTTCACTGCTTCAGGGTCGTGTCTCTCTGATGGTGTTGGGTGCGTCCACCATACAGTGATTTACATATCAGTTTGCATACTAAGGGTCCGCAGTTCTCTATTGTGTGAATGAATCTGTGAGCTTTTGAAAGGAGCTACCCTCTTGGCCTCCCTCCCAGGATCCCTGTCCTCAGTCTTCTTTGAACTGTGCTCTGACTTAGACACCTGGGACCTCTCTGAGTTTCTGGGTTTTGGTTGAAGGGATCTCATGGGGAACAGCTGCCTGGGGTGCAGGGCTCTCTTTCTGCCCTTTTGGAGGGGTGACCCCTAATCAGTGAAGGAATCTGTGCTCTCCTCAGGGTCAAGCAAGGCTCTGATTAATGCCATTCAGGTAGAACGGCCCCAGATCCACCCACAGGGGTGGATGTAACCATCTGGGCTGCCGTTTCTGTGCTAGATTCTCTGACACCAGGGCTATCTTTCCAAGATTCAGATCTGACCATGATACTTCCTTGCTAAAAACCTTTCAGTTTTTGCCATGGAGGTTGTCAAATGGCTGTCAGTTATCTCTAAGTCACTTGGGGAACTTGGTAAAAAAAAAAAAAAATACAGATTCCTAGGGGCACCTGGGTGGCTCAGTTAAGCATCTTCCTTCGGCTCAGGTCATGATCCCAGGGTTCTGGGATCGAGCTCCGCATCAGGCTTTCTGCTCCATGGGAGCCTGCTTCTCCCTCTCCCTCTGCCTGCAGCTCCCTCTGCTTGTGCGCTCCCCCCACCCCACCCCACCCCCGTCAAATAAATGAATAAAATCTTTTAAAAATAATACAGATTCCTGGACCTAGAACTATTGATTTACTCTGATGGATGTCTAGGACCTTGTATTTCTTTTTTAACAGCCCCAGTTGATTGGCATGCATGCTTAGGTTTGAGAACCATTGGATAAAATAGAGCCCATGGTCCTGAACAGCAGTGGTTCTGAGAGTGTGGTCCTCACACCAGCAGCAGCATCACTCGGGAAAGAGTCAGATACAAATTCTTGGGGGACCCACCCCAGACCTGCTGAATCCAAAACTGTTTCAATGAGCCATCCAAATGATTCTGATCACAATAAAATTTGAGAACCACTGGCTTAGAGGGCCTTATGACCTAGTCTCTGCCAGCTTATATCTTGTATTTCCACTTCCTGCCTTACACTTACCTCTTCAAAAACTTCTAATTTCTCAAGCCTGCATAACCTGCAAGAAACACTTCCTGACTTCTCCAGATTGAGCTTGGGACTCCTGGAATATCCTCCACATTTCTGTAGTGGTGTGTCACAGTGGGATGTCTGTGGCACTAACACTCCCTGAAGACGGGCTGAGCCTGTCTGTCTTCTAATCTGTGACACTGTCATAGGCAAGGGGAGGGGCCCAGTATTTGTTAATATCTCCCTATGTTTCTGTAGAAACCAGAACCAGAAAGAAGGACGGAGAGAAGGAAGTGTTCCCACCTAAGGAGGCGCCCCGAAAGGGCAAGCGAGGCCGGCGGCCCAGCAAACCCCGCCTGATCCCCAGGCAGACTTCTGGGGGCCCCATCTGCCCTGACTGTGGTTGCACCTTCCCTGATCGGCTGGCCCTGGAGAGCCACAAGTGTGCCCAGAATCTGAAAAAGCCTTACCCTTGCCCAGACTGCGGCCGCCGCTTTTCCTACCCCTCCCTGCTGGTCAGTCACCGGCGGGCACACTCTGGCGAGTGTCCCTATGTCTGTGACCAGTGTGGCAAACGTTTCTCCCAGCGCAAGAACCTCTCGCAGCACCAGGTCATCCACACAGGCGAGAAGCCCTACCACTGCCCTGACTGTGGCCGCTGCTTCCGGAGGAGCCGGTCCCTGGCCAATCACCGGACCACGCACACCGGCGAAAAACCCCACCAGTGCCCCAGCTGCGGGCGGCGCTTTGCCTACCCCTCCCTGCTAGCCATCCACCAGCGCACGCACACGGGCGAGAAGCCCTACACCTGCTTGGAATGCAACCGCCGCTTCCGACAGCGCACCGCCCTGGTCATCCACCAGCGCATCCACACGGGCGAGAAGCCCTACCCGTGTCCAGACTGCGAGCGGCGCTTCTCCTCGTCCTCTCGCCTGGTCAGCCACCGGCGGGTGCACTCCGGGGAGCGCCCCTACGCCTGCGAGCACTGCGAGGCCCGCTTCTCCCAGCGCAGCACGCTGCTCCAGCACCAGCTCTTGCACACTGGGGAGAAGCCCTACCCGTGCCCGGACTGCGGCCGTGCCTTCCGGCGGAGCGGCTCGCTGGCCATCCACCGCAGCACGCACACCGAGGAGAAGCTGCACGCCTGCGACGACTGTGGCCGCCGCTTCGCCTACCCCTCGCTCCTGGCCAGTCACCGGCGCGTGCACTCAGGCGAGCGGCCCTACGCGTGCGACCTGTGCTCCAAACGCTTCGCCCAGTGGAGCCACCTCGCGCAGCACCAGCTCCTGCACACCGGGGAGAAGCCCTTCCCCTGCCTGGAGTGTGGCCGTTGCTTCCGCCAGAGGTGGTCTCTGGCCGTCCACAAGTGTAGCCCCGGGGCCGCTATAGGGGGCGCCGGCCAGAAGGGCAGTGCCCTTTAGTACGGGAAGGACGGTAGATTCTCACTTCACTTCGTGGAGGGGTCCAGGGAAGGAGAAGCCCCGGGTCGTACAAGGCAGAGTCCGCAGGAAAACCCAGGTCTCCTGCTACGGAGACCTGAACTTTAGTATATTTCACCACACTGGCTGCCGTACTGCTTGTGTCTAGAACGGACAGTCCCATTAGGACAGGGGACATCGCGTGGCTCTTTTCCAGGCTACCCTATCCTGAAAGAATTTGTGTGTGTGGATATCAGGGCTAAAAGTTCTCCCATCTATCTTAGGGGCTGTTTGCTTTTCTAGTTTGTGCATACAGGGATCACCTGTCCCCTTGTATACAGTCCGGAGAATCCCCTTTGTGGGGGGCAGTATCTTGCCCTACTCTGCCCCTTCCTCCATACCAGCGTTAAACAAACCTGGTTTAGCCCCCTTTTTTTCAACACTCCTGCCAAGTGGTTTTTTTACCCTTGCTTTAAAAACCTCCCTTGACAGGGAGCTCACTACCTCACAAGGCAGGTCATTTCACTGTGGGATAGCTCTGATTTTTAGAAGGTAGTTAAGTACTACCTTCTCCTTCCCTAGAAGTCTTGCCCAGAGTATATAATACTTCATCTACATGACAGCATTTCAGATAACCACAGCTGCTTTGCCCGTGTTTTCAGGTTAAACAGCATTATTTGGTCAATCATTCCTTAAAGACAGGGTTTCAGTCCCCACACGTGCTTTCTCTCCAACGTTCCTTTTAAAGGGTCATGCAAAAATAAGCCAGCACCACAGTGTGCACGGTACACCTTGGTCTCTACTTGTTTTGACAGCTCTAGATTGCACTGAATTTGGGGGTGGTGACACTGTAGCAGGGCTTCATTGGGCGGCAGACACATAACATACCTAAGCCTTTTTTTTTTTTTTAAACCACATACTGTGAAGTTAAGTCTTCTGCCCCCTGTGTTTGGAAAATTGATTCAAGTTGGGTCTGGGACATAGGTAAAGTGAGCTTTGGGAAAAGACTGATTTTAAGGAGAAGGAGGGGAGCTGTGGTCTAGCAGCAAGAGTAAAACTGGCACTAGTCTGTACTTCATCCAGTGGATTTGGATTAGTTCCAGGCAGCCAGTGGCTAGAAAATCCTTGAGAACTGGGCCTCACTCCTCCCTGATTCTCAACCGAATAAGGAGACATCAGCACAGAACCTTCCATGAGTCCTCAGTCAACATTTTTCATAAAGTGAGATGAGGCTGTTCAAGGAGGGTAGAAAGTTAAGTAATTGAATACAGGGCAGGAAGGAGTCTACAGTCATCAAGTTGTGTTCATGCCTGCCTTCCTTACAGAAGCTCCCAGAGCAGTGGCGGCAATGTGTCTTAATCTTTGATATGCCTCCCTGGCACCCACCCCTGAGTAGATGCTCAGTAAAGCTTTACTGCATTCAATGATCAAGGCCTACCACTTTGCCTTGGGTAGCTGCACCAAATTGGAATTTTCAGACACGACTTCTCTCCTATTCAACAGCTGGAGTGGGTCATGTTCCTACCCCTGTTGCTTGTTTCTTCAGCTCTCCCAATCTCAGCCCCAAAGTGGGAGAGCAGCTGGGGAACACAGTGTTTGTAATTACCTCTGTGGTATTTAGCAAGTTGCATTGTAACTGTTGGTCTGTTTCTCCTTGGATGAATGGATGAGCTGCCCCAACACCGACCGGGGTCATACCAGATTGGGTCTCATTAAAATGTCGATAAATGATGTTTCTTGTTGAATCACTGTTTATAAAACATAAGTCTAGGTCCTTGACTGGGTAAAAATTTTTAGTTCTGATGGAGACCTGCCTTCTAACAGAGCTATTCGAATGTCTGCCTAGCTCTGCATTAGAGCTGGCTATTCTACTTTTATCACCAGGCTGATCCAACTCTTTATCTAGGAATTTTGTAACTTTCTTTGGGCCTGGATTGTAACTCCTAAGACTTGGAGGCCAAGTTCCAGTGTGTGTGCAGTCAGTGGAGGACCAAGATGATCGACAACTTCCTAGGTCCCCTAAGGCACTTCAGTCCCAGCATCCATTCCTGACCAGTTGTGATCCTGGCCCTGTTTTCAGCGGGAGATCCCAGTATCCTTCCAATTTGTTCCCCCTTCTGTTTCAGGTAGTTTGTTTCTGTTACTTGCAACCCAAAGAATAAACGAATCCACCATCCCAGTATGGATTTATTGCCCATAAGCTTTGAAGAGGGGAAAATTGCAGTGCTGCTGAGAGGAGCCAGCACGACCCCTTTCCTGATCTCCAACCTCAGTGAGCCTTCACCTTCAGTATGACTTAAGTCTTCCCTACATCCTTAACCAGTGAATACCTTCTCTTCCACTAAAACCCAAGGTTTCAAATAGGAATTCAACATTCCACTCCCCACTGACTCCACGTTTACCAGTACTTAGGTGTGACGCTCACCAACATAGCTGTGCTTGATTTCATCTACTGCCCTCTCGGGGACTTTGCTACATCTGTTATTCTTTCTCTCCTCTTAGTTTTATGGTTTCAGAGTCCCTCTCCTATCTGGAACACACACATGCCAATCTAAAATCTGTCTTTTTTAAAGATTTTATTTTTAAGTAATCTCTACACCCCACATGGGGCTCGAACTCGCAGCCCCAAGATCAAGAGTCGCATGCTCTACTAACTGAGCCCGCCAGGCGCCCCTCAGCTAAATTTCTTGAAACAGTAGCTTACATTCACTGTATTCTTTGGCCTACTGCAACAGCATTTATGATGGGCCAGGTACTGTGTCTTAACACTTTATATGCATTCCAATGTGATGTGTATGAGAACCCCACAAAGTAGTTGTTTGGAGATACGCTTCCATGTGTCTCTCGCATTGCCCCATATCTTGCTGAGTATGCCAAAAATGGCAAGGCCTTGCCTTCAACAAATTGTCAGATGAGCTGATTCCAGACCTAGAGCCTTTTGAGTGAGGAAAGGTTGAGTCCCTTGATGAAGGACTATGTTATATTGGCAAAAATGTGCTGAATATCTTCCTTTTAGCCTTTTCCAAAGGTACCATTTCCCAGGGTGGCAGGATACAGGAAAAGGGAAAGTAACTAGAGTTGTCAGGGATTACTGGACATTGGATCTAGACACATTCTAATTCTTGGAGATCCAAAACATCACTGTAGTTCACCAGGCAGTGGACTCATGAAGATCAGGCATGTACAGAAAAGGGTTAACTCAGCAGGCCTAGGTTGCTCAAACCCTGCACATTCCAAAGAAAGCTCATCTTCAGGACTAGCACTTGGCTCATTCCTGGGAGATAAATTCCGAGCCCTTGTAATATTTTGCCTGATTAGGGTGTTTTCATATGCTGGAGGCCTCGAGCCATGCTGTACCAGTCTGACCAGATGAGTTTATCCTAACAATGTGGTTTATGATGAATGCCTGTTTTTGCTCTGGGAGACAGTCTGAGTAGCTGAGATCAGTCATGTGAGTACTCCATGTCTGTGTAACTGACTCCCCAATAAAAACCCCAGACACCAGGCTTTGGGTGAGTTTCTCCAGTTGGCAACAGTTCACACATACTGTCACAAGTCATTGTTGGGAGAATAAAGTGCATCCCTGTGCAACTCCACTGGACAAGGACACCTGGAAGTTTGTAAGTTCGTGCATGTCTGGTTTCTCCTAGACTTTGCCCCATGCCCCTTTTTCCTTTGCTGATTTTAATCTGTATCCTTTTCCTTTAATAAGCTATAACCTAGAGCACAGAAAGAAAGAAAGGAAAAAAAAAAAAAAAAGACAAGGCCCTGACGCCTCGTTTACTCTTCTCAGCCATTTCTTAGGGTTGTGTTTGTGTTAAGCAACCATGAGGGAGAAGTAGTGTCTCTATGTGGGACAAAGAGCAGCTTGCTTACTACTTACCACAAAGCACCAGGTTCTCCAAGTACATTGTTCCTCCCCCATAGTGCAACTCACTGTGTGCCTAGCATCCATCGGCCCCTTCCATGTTGCCTCTGCGGGGCTTAGGAGGCAAAAGAGCTGATACATACATGATGCTCAGGTGGTTTGTTCCATGAATAAGGTCCTTCGTCTATGACATTGGAGTCTCTTGTCTTTGGCCGGCATCCATGAAACAATGGGTAACCTTAAATTACACACCTGACAGTAGGTATTATTTCCCTTTAACAGAGGAGGGAACTGAGGCTCACTGATAATATTAAATAACATGTCCAGGATCACATATCTGGTAAACCTAAGGGCCAGGATTCCAAGCCAGGTCTGACTCCAAAGCTGGCTGCAATACAAGGTACTACTCCACTGAAACTGTCCTTTAAGACGCCTCATGACTTAGTTAGCAAATCGGTAATTTAATTTTTACCTTATTTATCTTAGTTTTCCTACTGAAGCTCTCTCATAACTTAGCTTTCATGCACCATTTTCTTCTAGTGTTCCTGGTGCCTCTGTGGTTCCTTCTAGTGTGTACATGTAGGAATTCCTTCTCAGCGTCTCTTGGGAAATGAATACATTAACCCAAGTTCCAAGAACTGGGAACATGCAAAAAAAAAAAAAAAAAAGTACCATAATTGTCCTGTGAATTAAAGCCTAACAACAAACACAGAGAAGGGGCACCTGGGTGGCTCAGTCAGTTAAGCATCTGTCTTCAGCTCAGGTCATGGTCCCAGGGTTGTGGGATCAAGCCCCGCATCGGGCTCCTTTCTTGGAGGGGAGCCTGCTTCTCCCTCTCCCTGCCGCTCCCCTGCTTGTGCTCTCCCTCTCTCACTGTCAAATAAATACATAAAATCTTTTTTAAAAAATAAATAAACAGAGAAGTTAGTGGTTTAGATGTCATTAAAAGCAAGACCAGGAAATGTTCCTACAGAGTTGAAAGTGAAAGTCAACATACCTGTGAAAGGGACAGGAGCACCTAGAATAAAAGATGTCACAACAGGATCGGGTAACCTCGCTTATAGCGGTGGCCGGGTGGTAAGTCTGTGTCCCCAGTCCCGCCTGCTGCTAACCAGGAGTCAGTCTTGCAAATAAAATATTCTATTCACAGGATACTTTGTACATATCTCCTATAAATGATGTTCTAGAAGTTTTGGAAGTAAAATAAGTTGGTCTCTTAAATTGCTGTGGAAGTCACAAAATTGCAGATTTTTTTGTGGTAAAATATACATTAATTTTGCCATGTTCACCATTTTTAAGTATACAGTTCAGTGGCATTAAGTACATTCACAATGTTGTACAGCCTGCCACAATTTCCAGAACTTTTCATCATCCCAAACAGATACTATGTACCCATTAAATAATAAATACATGAATGTTGTATTTGCAATTTTGATAGTTATTACCAAATTGCTTTCCAAGGAAGCTGCATGAATTTACACTCCCATCCAATATGTGGGAGCGCCTCTACCTCTAAAAACAGTGCATCATTCATTCCTTCATTCAACAAGTATCTTGGGCAACTGCCACAGGCCATGTAATGTTCTCAGAGATGGAAATGCAACAGTGGACAATATAGTCTTTGCCCTCGTGGAGACTCCAGGCCAAAGAAAAAGACAAACAATATCAGGAAGTGGTCAGTGCAGGATGAGGGGATGAAAGTGACAAGGGGGACTATTTGGGGACAGGAGTATCAGCAAACTTTCTTCCCCCTGCCTACCCTCTTCAACAAACTTTTTCCCCCATCAGAAAACTTTCCTTTTAAAGAAACCTTTTTTTTTTTTTTTTAAGATTTTATTTATTTATTTGACAGAGAGAGAGCACAAGTAGGCAGAGAGGCAGGCAGAGGGAGAGGGAGAAGCAGGCTCTCCACTGAGCAGGGAGCCTGACGTGGGACTCGATCCCAGGACCCCGGGATCATGACGTGAGCCGAAGGCAGCCTCTTAACTGACTGAGCCACCCAGGCGCCCCCATCAGAAAACTTTTTGATCCCTGCTCATCTGAAAGCTGAAAAATACCATCATGCAATTCTACTTTGCGTTCCCTGTTATGTGATTATTTTTTCAAATGCTTTAAGACATTGCTGTATTTTCTTTTACGTGAATTGCCATTTATATCGTTTTACCTATTTTTCTGTTGTTAGTCTTTGTCTTCTGCATTTGTAATTCTTTAATAATAAATTAGTCCTCTGGAATATAATTTGCAAATATTTTTCTAATTTGTCATTGTATATTGACTTAATGATTTTTCGCTACATATTCTTTCTTTTCCTTTTTTTTTTTTTAAAGTTTTTATTTTTTTATTATTGAGAGACAGAGAGAAAGGCTGAGGGAGAAGCAGGCTCCCCACCGAGCAGGGAGCCTGATACGGGACTCGATCCCAGGACTCTGGGATCATGACCTGAGCCAAAGGCAGACGCTTAACCATCTGAGCCACCCAGGCACCCACTACATATTCTTTCTTTATGCAAGTTTTCACCCCTTGTTCTTTGAAAGTAATACATTCTTGGGGTGACTGGGTGTCTCAGTCATTAAGTGGCTGCCTTCAGCTCAGGTCATGATCCTAGGGTCCTGGGATCGAGCCCCGCATTGGCCTCCCTGCTCTGCGGGAAGTCTGCTTCTCCCTCTCCCACTCCCCCTGCTTGTGTTCCCTCTCTCACTGTGTCTATCTAATAAATAAATAAAATCTTAAAAAAAAATTAAAAAAAGAAAGTAATACATTCTCTTGGAAGTTACCCTTCAATTTTCAACACATATATCTAACTTAAGTCTAATATTTCTCATTATCTGTATGCCTATTTTTATTTCATTTTTAATATTTTTCCAGTGAAATGCCACAATTTTCATTATTCGGTGCCGCACATTGTGCTTTGACTCATATCGTTTCCTCCAAGTTCATCTGGGAAGGGTGGCCATTTGCTGGGAGCCTGCACAAAATATGGAACGCTTCACAAATCTGCATGTCATCCTTGAGCAGGGGCCATGCTAATCTTTCTGTATCATTCTGATTTTAGTATATGTACTGCTGAACGAGCACTGTATGTCTATTTTTTAGTTTATTTTTAATTTTTTTAGAGAAAGCGAGAGAGCAAGGGAGGGGCAAAGGGAGAGGAAGAGAGAATCCCAAGCAGGCTCCACACCCAGTGTGAGCCCCATGTAGGACTCGATCTCACCACCCCAAGATCCCAAGATCCCAACCTGAGCCAAAATCAAAAGCGGGTCACTTGGGGTGCCTGGGTGGCTCAGTCGGTTGGGTGTCTGCCTTCCACTCATGTCATGATCCCAGCGTCCTGAGATCAAGTTCCACATCGGGCTCCCTGCTCAGCAGGGAGTCTGCCTCTCCCTCTCCCTCTGCTGCTCTGTCAAATAAATAAACAAAATCTATATATATAAAAAAAAAGTGGGTCACTTAACTGACTGAGCCACCCAGGTGCTCCTGCCTATTTTTAATGTAAAATGAAAAATACGGGGCGCCTGGGTGGCTCAGTCGTTAAGCGTCTGCCTTTGGCTCAGGTCACGGTCCCGGGGTCCTGGGATCGAGCCCTGCATCAGGCTCCCTGCTCCGCGGGAAGCCTGCTTCTCCCTCTCCCACTCCCCCTGCTTGTGTTCCCTCTTTCGCTGTGTCTCTCTCTGTCAAATAAATAAGTAAATAAATACATAAATACATACATAAATAAATAAAATGAAAAACACTGGGGCACCTGGGTGGCTCAGTCAGCTAAGTGTCAGATACTAGGTACTCACCTTTCACTTTTATTGTACACAGTACAGTATTTTCACAGGGACTTGCTAAAGGATTTAAAAGGTTTTTATCTTTTGAAGGAAAAAAATCTAATGTTGACCAAAATCTCCAAACTATAGGTAAAATATAAGGACCTTACAACATTTTCACTTAAGTCATTATACTCCCATTTAGGTCACAGCAGACACTCCTCTGCAACTGAAGGATGGAATGATTAAATGTGAGGAATTTATTAAATAAGAGAAAATGTCCTTCCAGAAACAAACCCTTATATCTATGATCAAGTGATCTTCTTTTTCTTTTTTAAAGATTTTATTTGAAAGAGAGAACACAAGCAGGGGGAGGAACAGAAGGAGAGGGAGAAGCAGACTCTCCACTGAACAGGAAACTCGATGTGGGGCTGATCCCAGGATCCTGGGATCATGACCTCAGCCGAAGGCAGACACTTAAATGACTGAGCCACCCAGGCACCCCTTTCTTTCTTTTCTTTTTAAGTAGGCTCCATGCCCAACGTGGGGCTTGAACTCATGATGCTCAGATCAAGAGTCCCATGCTCTACCAACTGAGCCAGCCAAGCACCCCTATGATCAATTGATTTTCAACAAAATTGCCAAGACAATTCGAAAAGTGAAATAGTCTTTTCAACAAATGGTGTTGGGACTAAATATACACATACAAAAGAATGAAGTTGGGTCCCTACCTTCAACCATATATAAAAATTAATTTGAGGACCCGGTTGGCTCAGTTGGCTAAGCATCTACCTTCGGCTCAGGTCATGATCTCAGTGTCCTGGGATCGAGCCCTGCAATGGGCTCCCTGCTCAGCGAGGAGTCTGCTTGTCCCTCTGCCCCTCCACCCACTGTACTCTCTCTCTCAAACAAATAAAATCTTAAGGAAAAAAAATAACTCAATATGGACAAACCACAGACCTAAATATAAGAGCTAAAACTATAAAACTCATAGCAGTACACACAGATGTCAATCTTTGTGATCTTGGATCAGGCAATGGTTTCTTAGATATGACACAAAAAGCACAAGTGATGAAAGATAAAAATAGATACACTGATTTCATCAAGATTAAAACTTGTGCTTCAAAAGAGATCTTGAAGAGAATTAAAAGATGGTCTGCTGAATGGGAAAAAATATTTCCAACTGATATATCTGTAAAGGGATTTGAGTCTAGAATATATTTTAAAAACTCTTACACTGATACCAAAGCTAGACAAAGACATTATAAGAAAATTACAGACCAATATCCCTTACAAATATTGATAGAAAAATCCTCAAAAAATACTAGCAAACCAAAGCAGCATATTAGAAGGGTTATACACTATGACCAAATGGGATATATTCCTGGAATATATATATCTATGCTCAGCAGTGAGTCTGTTTCTCCCTCTGCCTCTGTGCTCCCTCTCCCTTTGTGCTCTTTCTCTCAAGTAAATAAATAAAATCTTTAAAAAAATAAACTGACAAAGAATAAAATGCAAACAAATTTTAAGTGTGTATTTGCTGAGTGTTGACAATGCTTACACCTAAACCTCTATCAGGATATAGAACATTACCGTCACGCAACAAAGTTCCCTTCCTGGTTAAACCCATCCCCATCCCGCCAGAGACAACTCCTGCTCTAATTGTGTCCCCACCACAGATTCATTTACCCTGTTATAAAATGTCATATAACTGGAATCCTACAGTGTGTATTCTTCTGCCCACGGCTTCTTTCATTCAGCATAATCTCTTTGAGTAATGCTTCTTTCAGATCTTCAATTCTTGAATTCAGAGCTGGGAGAGTGCTCCCACACCCAATACAGTACCTGATAAAGCTCAGAAATAGCTCCTCAGTAAGGTTACCTGGATTAGTTTCTCATTGCTACTACAAGAAATTACCAAACTAGGTGGTTTAAAATAACACAAATTTATTATCTTACAATTCTGTAGGTCAGAAGTGTGAAAACAGGTCTTACAGGACTAAAATCAAGGTGTTAGCCAGGTTGCATTTGCCAATCTCTAGGGGAGAATCCTTCCCTTGCCTTTTCCAGCCTCTAGAGGCTGCCCAAAGTCCTTGGTTTGTGTCCCCTTTCCAGCAATCCATCACTCCCACCTGTTTTTGTTGTCACATCTTTTTCGACTTTGATCTTCCTGCCTCCTCCCTCCCATTTTTTTGTTTACATAAATTAACTCATTTATTATAGGCTAGCAATGTTTCAAATGAAAAAAATTCCTTCAGTCTTCTGATGGACAACAGAAGCAGTCTCGTAGGTCCAGGCACCACCATCTATCATTTTCATGCAGGAACCACAATGCCAGATTGTCACAGCTCGTGTTTTCATCTTTGGTTTGCCACAGAAGGAGCAAAAATGTACTTGGTGTGCTGGCTTATTTCAATTTTTTTTTTTTAAGATTTTATTTCAGAGAGTGAGAGAGAGAGAGAGCACGAGTTGGGGGGTAAGGAGCAGAGAGAGAGGGAGAAGCAGACTCCCCACAGAGCAGGGAGCCCGATGCGGGGCTAGATCCCAGGACTCCAGGACCATGACCTGAGCTGTAGGCAGAGGCTTAACCGACTGAGTCACCCAAGCGCCCCTTATTTTGATTTTCTTCATCATTTTCCTGACAGAGGCACCATAATGGGTCCTTATTTACTGACAATTCTGACCTTCTTGGTGCATTTTAGCCATGTCGCTGCAAACTAGCTCCGAGCCCAGAGGAGCCTCTTATCTCTCTTTAATAAGGATCATTGTAAGTACACTGGACACACTGGGATAATTCAAGATAGTCTTCCCATCTGAAAATCCTTAGATTGATCACATCTGCAAAGTCCTGTTTGCCAATATAACATATTCACAGGTTTCAGGGATTAGAACATGGACATCTTTGGTGTCCATTACTCTGTCTGCCATGTCACCTGAATAAATAAAAGACCTTAAAACCACGCTTCTCAAAATTGGGCATCTTGAAGATACAAAATAAATATATCTTCTGGATATCAATGCTTCTTGTGGATTTGGGAGAAAATCTTCTTTGAATCAGCAATTCTGCTTCTAGAATTTTATTCTACAGACATGCTAATATATGCATCTAAAGAAGTATATCTAAGGATGTGATTACAGTATCTTATGGTAGTAAGACTGGAAACAAACTAATTGCTCATCAACAGAAAATGAACTAAATAAACTGTTTTATCCATATAGTGGAACACTATGTATGCAGCCATTAAAAAAAGCAATCTATATGTGCTGAAATTAAACAATCTACAAGATGCATCAAGTGAGAAAAGAAAGCAAAGCGAACAGGGTGTTTATTATGCTACTTGTGAAAAGAAAAAAAAATATGTTTTTATGTACCTAAATTATGTCCAGAAGGACACAAGTAGCCGGTAACAGAGGTTGCCTCTGGGAAGGGGAAGGAAAACTAGAGGGAGGAGACTTTTTTTTTTAATTGAAGCATAACACACATACATAAGTGTGCAGGTTAATTTTCACAAACGGAACACTTCTGTGTAACCAGCATCTAGATCAAGAAACAGATTATCAGCACTTCACAAACAAAAAACTTGGATTAGTAATAGCTTGGATTAGTTTTGCCAAATTTTATGTTTTATATAAATGGAATCACATATTACATATTATTTTGTGTCTGGCTTCTTTTGCTCAACACCATATCTGCAAGATTCATCCACATTATGCTTGTAATTCTATATCATTCATTCTCATTTCTGAGCAGTATTCTATGAATAGTATTCTGTAAATAGTATTCCCATGAATATTCCACAATATTTTAATTCGTTTTTCTACTGTTGTGGATAGTTTCTGGGTTTTGCCTATTGCAACTAGTGTTGCTGTGAACATTTGAGCACATGTCTTTCAGTAAACATATGTATGCACATTTGTTGGGTAGACAGGGAGAAGTGGTATTGCTGGGTCATAGATATGCATATATTTAGCTTTAGTAGATACTGCCAGTTTTCCAAAGTAGTTGTACCAACTTACACTCCACCTGTAGCCTAAGAGCGTTCAACATTTGCAAATCTTACTTTTGACTATGCATTCTATTGAATGTGGTTATATTATGAAATAGAATGCATAGCCACATGAATTGTAAAACTATACTATGTGTTCAAAGTGGTTGCACTGTGGGGATGGTCAGCTTTTTTGTTATATCTCTAGAACTTTCCTTTGCTGTTCCTATGAATGTTAGTTGTTAAAGTCTGAAAAACAGATTAAGAGATGATCTGATTCGTTTCCCAGTTTTATTACTCAGTTATAAGCTGTAATTTAAACACAAGTTTTCCGATTGAGACAGGGTACAGTAAGCACTTAGCTAAGCCTTAGCGCTTAGCTGAACCTGGAAGCCAGAAAATAACTTTGAATCTGGCTCTGCCGCCCGTGAGCAGTCACCTAGGCTTTCTGTTCCTCAGCTGCTGCGTCTGTTAAAGTCAAGACATCTGTGACCTCGGGGCATGGGTCAAATCAAATACCGGTAAGAACCGGGGTAGCCTTGCCCTGAGTACCCAGAGCAGGCGGGGACGGGCCATCCCTCACTTCCAACATCTCCAGAATCGGCCTTAGCCCGTCGGCTTTTACTCACCTCCAAGCCCGGGACATCGGCATCTGCTAGCATCGGCCTCATGTAGTAGTAGAAGGGAATAGCTCCAACCCGTCAAAACCTCTTTTTTTAGGACCTGTCCGGGAAAAGCCAGGTGAAAAAAGAGCCTACTGTCCCTCAGCGCCCGCCACCTTCAGACCAGTCACTCCCTTCCCTTCAGCCTTTCAAATATGCCGCTCCGGCAGGACCAATCACAGCCTTCCGTCTTCTCCAGTCCACCCAGCGCTGTCCAATCAACGCACGTCATCTACGGTTGGCTGCGCTGCGGCTCCAACCTCCCTTCTGGTTTTCCCCTTGGTACCTAACCGCAGACGGGAAAGGCAAGGGAGATTGAGTCCGGAGGGACGCCATGTTGGTCAAGGGCAGTGCTCTGGCCCTTAAGGACTTTTTCAGAAGCCAGGAAGGCTCTAGCGTTTCCACATATTCCGGAAGCCTCTCTTGGCGTAGCACTGGAGAGCTCGCCCATGGCGCCGCCCCTGGCCCCTCTCCCGGCGGGTGTACCCGGGGAGGCCGAGAGAGGGCCGACGAGAGAAAGCAGCCCCGGGGCCGTGAGCTTCGCGGACGTGGCCGTGTACTTCTCCCCCGAGGAGTGGGGCTGTCTGCGGCCCGCGCAGAGGGCCCTGTACCGGGACGTGATGCGGGAGACCTACGGCCTCCTGGGCGCGCTCGGTGAGGCCCGGCGGTCCAGCCAAGACCCAGTAATACGTGGGAAGCGGGGACTAACTGATGTCCCCAGAGACAAGTGGGCTGGAAGTGTCGGGCACTTGAGGAAGCACCCTCATCCTCCCCTCTCGGGTTCTCAGCCGAACCCAATGTTTCCCCTCCGCAGGATTTTCAGGCCCTAAACCCGCTTTTATTTCTTGGGTGGAAGGAGAGGTGGAGGCGTGGAGCCCGGAGGCCCAGGATCCAGAGGGTGAGACCCGAGCAGCTGTCATCAGAGACAGGGGTAAGGTAACAGGTACTTCACTTCAAACCCAGTATGGGACCTTTGAGAACCCCTTCCCCCAACTCGGATCCACAGTACACACCGCCTCCTCCAAAGCCCCATCGTGTCTCCCTACACCTCATCTCCAGAAAGTTCCAGTGTCACTGCAGAATGGCTCATAGAAGAGCTAAATTGGGACTTACAGCACCACTTAATTAATCAGGGAATCCCCAGTTTAGTGCAAAATAGTGCCCGAGTTGCCAGGGCAGCCAAGGGAAAGGAGAAACACATCCGTAATTTGGTTTTTGTTGTGTAATAAAATGAAGACAAATGTTCCTTTTGGCTATTATGTGGATCACACTGTAATGATAATGTCATTCATCAGCGATCTTAAAATCAAGAAAAGGTGTTTTCTCTGCAGCCATGTCATAAATGCTTGTTCCCAGGTCTTCCCGTGGAACCTGGAGTACAGTCCAAGTGTAGACATTTTGGCGATGGCCTTGAATGGCACCAAGGGAGATCATTTAATGGCTATTTTGCAAAGGAATCATAAACAGGTTCAGGACCGTAAGCTCTATGAAGGCTGGGACCATCACCACCCTCATTGCCTGAGAGTAGGGGTTCAATATTATTGACACCTCCATTTATCTCCAGTTTTCAGAGCTTTCTTGTGTTAACACCAGCCAGACGATGAATTTTGCTTTTACTCCAGGATGGCTTTCTGGGCTTGATGAGGCCCCAGTCTCAAAGACTGCCATATACTCAGACACTCATGCTGCCTCCCAGGGAAGGCCACTGTATGGAATGTGCTCCTGAGTTTCAGGTTTTATCTTTTTCCCTGTCTCAGGATCCAGGGATGAGAGTGAAGAGAAAGAAGAACTGAAGAAAAGTCCAAAGCAAAAAGAGATGGAGCATGAGGAAGTGTCTCTCAAGGAGTGGTTACCATCCAGCAGGCCATCTGGTGCCAATCACAGAGCCTCCTGCCCAGCGCTCTGCTGGAACTCAGGGCGGAGCCCAGTCAAGCCTTGGTTCAAGGACACCACGACCCACAAATCACCCTACTCTTGCCCAGACTGTGGCCGCAACTTCAGCTACCCCTCCCTCCTGGCCAACCACAAGCGGGTCCACTCTGGGGAGCAGCCCTTCCCCTGTGACCAGTGCCAGGCTCATTTCTCCCAGCGCAAGTACCTGCTCCAGCATCAGGTCATCCACACAGGTGAAAAGCCCTACTCCTGCCCTGACTGTGGACGACGTTTCCGCCAGAGGGGTTCCCTGGCCATCCATAGACGGGCTCACAGCGGGGAGAAGCCGTACCCATGCCCAGACTGCCAAAGTCGCTTCACTTACCCCTACCTGCTAGCCATCCACCAGCGCAAACACACAGGCAAGAAGCCCTACAGCTGTCCCAGCTGCGGCCTCCGTTTTGCCTACAGCTCCCTGCTGGCTATCCACAGGCGCACACATACGGGCGAGAAGCCCTACCCTTGCCCAGACTGTGGCCTCCGCTTCACCTACTCATCTCTCCTCCTCAGTCACCAGCGCATTCACTCTGACAGCCGGCCCTTCCCCTGTCCATAGTGTGGGAAAGGCTTTAAGCGCAGGTATGCCTTGGAAGCCCATCAGTGGGTTCACTGCTCTGGCAAGAGGCTGAGGTAGCGACGGCCTGCAGTAGGGCTCTCGGAGCCGATCCTTGTTTTGGGAGGCCAGGATCCCCCAGTTCATTTCCGGTACTTTCCAGATATATTTCAAGAATGTGGGTGATAGAGCTCACAAGAGATGTTTTCTTTGGAAGGGAAAAGGCAAAGTTTATGCATTTGGGGGATAAGGAATGGAAAGGAAGTAGGCATTGAAGGAAAACAAAGCTCTGAGTTAAGGGAGCACAGAGCTGGTCCTTTGGAAGGAGGCAGGAATCTGAAAGGCCACCTGAAGGCTGACCCCATTTTCTGAGCTCCTGCTCCCACTTCCAAGTCCCACTTGGAGTTTCTTCCCAGCAAATCATTTACCTACCTGGCTTCCCCCCCCCCCCCCGGATTGTTCTCTCCATTAGAGCATTCTGCTTTCTGGCCTGTAACTCTCCTGTTCCTCAGAGATGGGGTCCCCACATGCAAGAACACACCTTGGGCCTATCCCCTGGGGGGCGGGGGGAAGCTCATCCAAGGATTCTTTTACCCAGTGCCGATGAGACATCTGGCAAGGAGACGCATGCGGTGTCAAGCCACTGTTGGCACTCTTTGGTCTTAAAATCTTGAAGGTGACCATAGGAGAACAATGGCTTCAGGTGGGGAACCATCCTGCCCCATGCTCACTCTGCTCCTAGTGCACAAAAGTGCCAAGCTTAGCGTAAAGGGGTTTTTTTTCCCCCTCAAACTTCTATGAATTAGTGATTGCAGTGTTTTTCTCTTCAGATATTTGCATGTCGTCAGGATTTTACATCTCCTGAATAAAGATGTGTTCTTGGGCTACAGCAACTGGAAACATAATGTTGGCACTTCTATTTAAGAGAGTAAATTACTTGTGATTAGGCTTGAAATCAAGGCCAAGTATCTCCAGTGTAGTTTTTAGTGTAATGCTTGTATGTGTCAGCAGTTAAGAGGGGTCTTTCTGACCCACTTTGATCTGCTAGCCGTACTTCTGATCAGGAGACTATTGATGGAATCAGGACGTGGGTGGGACTAAGCACAGCTGCATGCTAGGAGTGGTCCTGGGGGACTCAGTTATCTCTGTGAACAAGAGACTACTCTTGGAACTCCTGGGTTCCAAAGATGATTATGAATGGAAACTGGGTGTTATTTTACCACACCACATAGGCTCTCCTGAATTGGTAGACCTGGATTCCAGGTTTGGCTCAGTCCCCACTAGCTGTGGGGCCATAAGCCTATCATTCAACCTTTCTAAGCCTTCACTGTCTCGCTTGGCAACTCCACAGGGTTGTCTGAGATAAAACATGAAAGCACCTCACAGATTGTCGTAGTTTGAAGAACAAGTGGCTGAGTGCCCCCACAACGTTTTACTAACATTTTTCGTTCAAAAGAGTTGTAAGAATTTTTTTGGGAAACACTCACACCCTTTCTATAATCTAGATTCTATAATTGTGCTACATTTGCTTTATCACATGTCAATCGATGAATCCATCCCCTAACTGTTCATTTATACATCTTATTTCACAGTAAGCTGCTTTATCACATGTCAATCAATGAATCCATTCCCTATCTGTTCATTTATACATCTTATTTCACAGTAAGTTGCAGGCATCATTATACTTCATCCCTAAACACTTCAATGGAAGAAGGCTAAGCTTTATGCAAGAAACTTTAGCTCTCCCTTAAAATTCAGATACGCCGGCACGCCTGGGTGGCTCAGTCGGTTGAGCCTTGGACTCTTGGTTTCAGCTCAGGTCGTGATCTCAGGTTTGTGAGATGAGCCCTGTGTGGGGCTCTGCGCTCAGTGTGGAGTCAGCTTGAGATTCTCTCCCTCCCTGTGCCCCTACCCCTGCTCGCTCTCACTCTCTCAAATAAATAAAATCTTTTTTTTTTTTTTAAAGATTTTGTTTATTTGACTGAGAGAGAGAGAGCGAGAGCAGGAACACAAGCAGGGGGATGGGAGAGGGAGAAGCAGGCCTCCCTCTGAGCAGGGAGCCGGATGTGGGGCTCAATCCCAGCACCCTGGGATTATGACCTGAGCCGAAGGCAGATGCTTAATGACTGAGCCACCCAGGCATCCCTCAAATAAATAAAATCTTTAAAAAAAATTCAAATGCAGCTTGTTATACACAAGTAAAATTTATGAACTGTATCATTGTATGTTTTATAATTTCTTATAATTATGTCTGATTAAGATTCTGGAACAAACATACAGTTCGGTGGGCAATAAAACAATTTGAAAGCAAGAGCATCTTTGTATTTTTATAATGTTTGGCAGGAAAAACAACATAACATCAGCCACTTAGGATGGGGCAGTTTTAGTCTTGAACCTTTATTTCAATCTCATTAGTTAACACCCAGTTCATTGTTTAGCTCCATCTCCTTAAGTTTTCTCTATCCCTGGTGCAAAAAGAAGTGATTTATAACATACTACCTGAGTAAACAAAACTATTTTTTGGTCCAGGTGAAATCCTTTGTAGTTTCTCTTTAGGTAAAGTTGATTCTCCGTTTAGAAGGAGACTCCTATCTGAAGATACGTTTTTCCTTATTCCATTTCTACACTATTCACCACAATGAGTGCAGTGAGGTCCCTCCGGGACTCAAGTTTAGAAAGTTACAAAACAAGCAGGTAATTGTTTAGATGAAATCAGCAGAAGTCATACCAAAAGCCAGAAGTATTCCAGGTGAAAAACAGCAAGGGTGGGGCAAGAAAATATAAAGACGGAGAAGGCACTAACTTAGCAATGAAGGACATTTGTGAACACAAAAGAGAGACAGCGTGTGCTAGGGCAGGCAGGAGATCCAAGGTTCCAAGACCAGATAGTGGACTGCTGTCAACAGAGATGTAGGTTTTGTTCGTTAATCCAACGACTAGCCCCATGCTTAGCAAAGAGCACCTGGCATCCTGCCTGATTGCAGGAATATTCCCAATGGGATAAAGCTATCTAGTATCTAGGGACGCCTGGGTGGCTCAGTTGGTTAAGCGGCTGCCTTCGGCTCAGGTCACGATCCTAGGGTCCTGGGATCGAATCCCACATCCGGCTCCTTGCTTAGCGGGGAGCCTGCTTCTCCCTCTGTCTGCCGCTCTCCCTGCTTATGCTCTCTCCATCTCTCTCTGACAAATAAATAAAATCTTAAAAAAAAAAAGCTATCTAGTATCTATAGCCCAATGCCACAAACCATTAAGATGATCCATCTCCACTAAAAAATAGGAAGATATTGAAACTAGGAAGCAGAGGATACAATTCAGGACAGTAGGGAAGTCAGACCCTGGATGACAGCTGAGGCCCAGGCAAGTCTGGAGAGAGAAGACCGAGGGGTCAAGGAAAGAGGTTTCCCAGGGAAAAAATGGTAATCTGAGATTTGATGCTATCCCTGGTAATTTAAAACAACTTAAAGAAGCAGAGGGGCGCCTGGGTGCCTCAGTCAGTTAAGCGTCTGCCTTTAGCTCAGGTCACAGTCTCGGAGTCCCAGGATTGAGCCCAACCATCAGGCTCCAAGCTCAGCAGGGAGTCTGCTTCTCTCTCTGCCCCTGACCCGCTCATGCTTGTCTCTCTCTCAAATGAATAAATAAAATCTTTAATAAAAAACAAAAACAAAAAACGGAGGCATCTGGATGGCTCAGTTGGTTAAGTGTCTGCCTTTGGCTCGGGTCATGATCCCAGGGTCCTGGGATGGAGCCCCGCATCAGGCTCTGCTCAGAGGAGAGTCTGCTTCTCCCTCTCCCTCTGTGATCTCTCTTGATTTCACGCTCTCTCAAATAAATAAATAAAATCTAAAAAAAATAAAAATTTAAAAAAAGCAGAAAGCACAGATAATGCAACTGAAAGGGAATACAACTGGAAATTTTAAAAAAGGCCAACAATCACAATGGCAATCATATTACAATATATAAATTTATCAAAACAACATGTTGTACACCTTACATTTACACATGTTCTATGTCAAGTATGTTTCAGTAAAAAAGAGCAAACAGTTGACAAGAAAGGAAACATAATCATAGCATGTACAGGACTTTTTTTTTTTAAGATGTTATTTATTTATCTAGCTATTTATTTATTTATTTTAGATAGATCTCAAGCGTGCAAGCAGGGGAAGGGGCAGATGGGGAGGGAAGAGAACAAGCAGACTTTGCGCTGAGCACGGAGCCTGATATGAGGCTGGATCTCAAGACCCTGAGATCATGAGCTGAGCTGAACTCAAGAGTCGGATGCTCAACCTACTGAGACACCCAGGTGCCCCAGGAAATTTCATAATAATTTATTGCATTATGTCGGGAAAAGAGGTGAAGGAGATGGGGCTAGAAACTGAGCAAGTATCATAGCAAGATGCCCACAAATAATTTCTAAAATGAATATATCAAGGGACGCTTGGGTGGCTCAGTCAGTTAAGCATCTGCCTTTGGCTCAGGTCATGATCCAGAGTCCTGGGATCAAGTCCCGCATCGGCCTCCTCGCTCAGTGGGGAGTCTGCTTCTCCCTCTACCTGCTGCTCCCCCTGCTTGTGCACACGCTCTCTCTCTTTCTGACAAATAAAATCTTTAAAACAAATAAATACAAAAAATTAATATATCAAGAAACAAGAGTAAAAGCATTTTTTTAAGGAGTTTTTTTGAGTGAGAGAGAGAGAGCATGTGTACACAGGGTGGAAGCAAGCAGGGGTTGGGGGTGGGCAGAGGGAGAGAATCTAAAGCATATTTTTTTTTTTAAGATTTATTTTTGACAGAGAGAGTGTACAAGCAAGGGAAGCAGCAGGCAGAGGGAGAGGGAGAAAAGGGTCCTGGGATTGAGCCCCACATCGGGCTCCCTGCTCAGCGGGAAGCCTGCTTCTCCCTCTCCCACTCCCCCTGCTTGTGTTCCCTCTCTCGCAGTCTCTCTCTCTCTGTTAAATAAATAAAATCTATAAATACATACATACATACATAAGTAAATGCAAGCTCCAGAAGAAAGGCTAAGAGTTAAAAGTGTATTGATTCAGTTTGTGAAGATGAAAAAGTTTTAGAGAGGATGATGATGATGGTTGTGCAACAATGTGAATGTACTTAATACCACTGAACCATACACTTAAAAAATGGTTAGGATGGCAGTGAAATAAGTTAGACACAAAAGACAGGTGTTATACAGTTCCACTGACATAAGGTACCTAGAACAGGGAAATTCATAGGCACATAAAGCAAGCTGGAAGTTACCAGGAGCTGGGGAAAAGAATGGGGAGCGACCACCTTGTGGATTCCCAGTTTCCTTTTGCAGTGGTGAAAATGTTTCGGAAAGAGTGGTGATAGACGCACAGCATGTATGTAATTAATGCCACTGAACTGTAAACTTAAAAATGATTAAAGTGGCAAATACTATGTCTTGTATATTTTACCACAATTAAAAAAAATAATGTAATATACCCAAACCCATTGAACTGTACAATTTAAATGCATGAATTAGGGGCGCTTGGGTGGCTCAGTTGTCAAGCATCTGCCTTCGGCTTAGGTCCTGATCCCAGGGTCGTGGGATCGAGCCCTGCATTGGGCTCCCTGCTCTGCGGGAAGCCTGCTTCTCCCTCTCCACTTCCCCCTCTTGTGTTCGCTCTCTCGCTGTGTCTCTCTGTCAAATAAATAAATAAAATCTTAAAAAATAAATAAATAAATGCATGAATTATCTAATGAGTGAATTTTATCTCAAAACGATTAAACAAAATGCCTTACACAAATGTTCACAGCAACATGAAAAGTAAAAACAACTCAAATTTCCATCAACTGATGAATGGATAAACAAAATATGGTATACAGGTGTCCCCTCATTTTTCTTTTTTTTTTTTTTAAGATCTATTTTATTTATTTTGAGAGAGAGGGAGAGAGCACAGTGGGGAGGGGCAGAGGGAGAGGGAGAGAAAAACACAAGCAGATTGAGCACGGAGCTGGACACAGGGCTTGATCCCACAACCCCAAGATCAAACCTGAGCCAAACCAAGAGTCAAATGCCCAAAGGACTGCATCACCCAGGTGCCCCAGTTGTCCCCTCACTTTTCAGAAGCTCCCATTAGGCCACTTCATTTTAAGAAAAACCTACATTAGTACCTGTTTTCACTAACCAAAAGAAATCTGAAGAGGATTTTTACTTTTAGAGGCAGCTCACACCCCAAGCAGGGAGACTGGCCCCACCAAGCTCCTTCCCAGGGAGCTACACTCAGCCTCTCAGCATCAAGCTATTAGAGCTTTGAAATACGTGAGCATCTGTGCTTGGCCTACATTTATTCTGTGCATCTTTTAGCAAGATGTGTCCTAAGGTATCAGTAAAGCCTTAAGAGAGGTTATTTTTGGAGTCTGGGAATGCTCAAAAAATTTTCCATATGAATTAGTGGTAATTACTTCTTTGCTTTACACCATTTCAGCTTATGAAAAGTTTCATAGAAATGTTCTACTTTGGGACAGCAGGGGAAACCTGTATCCATACAATGGAATATTATTCAACCATAAAAAAGGAGTAAGATACTGATAAATGCTACATCGATGAACCTTGAAAACATTTTGCTGTCACGAGCCACACACGAAAGGCCACATACTGCATGATTCCATTTATGTGAAGTATCCAGAAAAAGTAAATCCACAGAGACAGAAACATTCGTGATTGTCAAGCAATGGAGGCAGGGAGAATGGCGAGTGGTATTTCTTTTTTTTTTTTTAAGATTTTATTTATTTATTTGAGAGAGAGAGAATGAGAGATAGAGAGCACGAGAGGGAAGAGGGTCAGAGGGAGAAGCAAACTCCCTACTGAGCAGAGAGCCCCATGTGGGACTCGATCCCAGGACTCCAGGATCATGACTTGAGCGGAAGGCAGTCGCTTAACCAACTGAGCCACCCAAGTGCCCCGGGAGTGGCTATTTCAAGGGTAGGGAGTTTCCTTTAGAGGTGATAAAAATAGTGATGATAGTTGCATATTGTTAATGTCCTAAATGCTATTGAATTGTAAGGTCTAAAGTGGTTAATTTTTGTTACATGTATTTTACCACAGTGAAAAGTTGTGTAGTGATTGAAAAGTGCACAACGAAACATGCAGGGGTCATCAATGCTCTATATTTTGTTCTGGGTGACGGTTAACACGGTTGTATGCACTTGTCAAAACTGAGCGAAGTTTACACTTAAAAACTGTGCATTTTACTGTATGTATGATATAATTCAGATTCATAAAAAGAGTTCAACAAAGTGGTCTTTAGGGAACAAGGTGAAAGGATACAGGGGGCTGCCTTTTTCATTATAATTTTGAATTACTTTTTAAAAAGCCATGCATAGTAATTTGCAGAAAATTAAAATGTAATGTATAATTTCCCCACTCCGATTCCAACCTCACCAAGCAAAGTTCCTCCCCCTAAGCTCCAGTCCAGAAACTGCGAGCCGTCCCGCGGGTGCAAGGAGTCGGGCGCGCCCTGCAGCCGTGGTCTCAACGGTAAACCGTGTACCTGGTTTTACCTCGGCTGTCCCCAGGGTTTGGCCAGGGTATGTGCGTCTCTCACAGGGGCTAGGGACCCGATTCCAGATCCTGCCGTCGGGAGGCATGGAGGGAGACCGTCGAGGGCACAATCCCGAGTTCCACAGACGCGGAAGGACTCCATAGGTCCAAAACTAGGTGACCGAGGTGCGCTTTCCAACGCCCCGCCAACCCGAGACCTGGCGGCGCAGCCTCTTCCTGCTCTGTGGGCCAATCACCGGCCGCCGGGCAGCGCGGGCGAAGAGCGGTGCTGGAAGCCACGGCCCGTCCATCTTTCTTGAGGGCAGGAAGGCTCCGCCCCCCCAGTCCTTTTTTCCTAGTTCCGTCTCTGCCTCGCCTAAACCCCCCCCCCGCCCCCCTGTAGCGGCCATTGTAGTTGAGGGCAAGTGGCCGCTGAGGCCAGAGAAGCCAGACAGGCGCCATGTTTGATATGATCAAGGAATGGCGCCCTTAAGAGCATCCAGTGACAACTAAAGCCAGGATGTCGCCATATTTTCTGAAGACACCTTCCGGGTCCCTTAACCCGGCTGTCTAAGTCCAGGCTGCCATGAAGTGAATAAACACCGAGGGGTTTTGTTTGTCCCCATCACAACCCCCGAATCCCTCGCAGCCAGGCCCTGCTACCTCGGTGCCCTCGACTGCGTTCGGACGCCAAGGCTGGGCGGGGCCCCGACCTCCGGAGCCCTTGCTGTGGACGACGAAAGCTGAGGCCGCGCGCGGGGAGGCGGTGGCCTCGGGGACAAGGCGGCCGCTACTCGGGGCCGGGAGGCCCCATGGCGCCGCCCCCAGCCCCGCTTCTGGCGCTGAGACCGGGGGAGACCGGGCCTGGTTACAAGAAGCCCGGGGCCGTGAGCTTCGCGGACGTGGCCGTGTACTTCTCCCCGGAGGAGTGGGGCTGTCTGCGGCCCGCGCAGAGGGCCCTGTACCGGGACGTGATGCGGGAGACCTACGGCCACCTGGGCGCGCTCGGTGAGGCCCCGGGTCAGAGCCCCCCCCTCCTCCTTCACTGGGGTTCACAGGGGAGATGACATGAGGACCGAGATGATTGTGAGCCCTAATCCCACACTATTCCACCAACAGCACCAGCCCCCTCCATTCCCAGGGCTTCAGGTTAGGGAGTGCTTCCACCTGGCATCCGCTTCCTTCAGGCAGGAGCATTGCAGACCCTGTCCAGGTTGAGCCTAAGTTCTGAGGAGGTGCCCTTACCCTGGCAGGGGGATGCCATCTGCCCAGGACAGCCTCTCAGGCCAGCACTGTGATCCCTGTTCTCTCCCAGGATTCCCAGGCCCCAAACCAGCCCTCATCTCTTGGATGGAACAGGAGAGTGAGGCTTGGAGCCCCGCCGCCCAGGATCCTGAGGAGGGGGAAAGCCTGGGAGGAGCTCTGAGAGGTGAGGGATTGTCCCAAGTCTCCCCCCACTTGGCGCTCCAGGGCTTCCTGTCTCACAAAATTTTCCTTTGGATCCCCACTTCCAGCAACCCTAAAGGAATTAAAGAGCCCCCCGATGTTGGATACTAAAAGAGGAAAGAAGGCAGATCTGTCATTTTAGGACCAGAGTAGGAGAATCAGGAACCCAAGTCCCAGACTCAGGTTTCTAGGGCCCTCTTGGAGAAAACACCACTCATTCTCCCCTTTTCAAGAACGACTAAAACCCCCTAGGAATGGAAGCAGCTTCAGGTCCTCCTTTCACATTCCTCAAGCAAGGCAAAGTGGTACAAGAGGAAATGCCCAGTAATCAACAAGGTGGCTCTTCTCCCCATCCCCTAGCAGAGTGATCTTGAGCAAATATGTTTCCTCATCTGCAGAAGTCTTATCCTATAAAAAATCGAGCAAACACAGTAATACTAGCTATTGTTTTATTGAGCATTTACTAAATGCCTAACATGCTTCTCCTGATTTAATCCTCCTAACCCTGTGAAGTAAAGAAACCACTGATTCCCAGTTGAAACATGAGAGGCAAGGCCCGGATAAGTCACTCTTAGGAATGTGAACCTTGTTTATCATCCTGCAAAGACTGTGTGTCAATTGCTGGGCAGTACTTTTCTGCCACTTCCCGAAGTATAAGAACGCTATAACCTGAGATGGTGTAAGCAAATATGTTTTAAAATGTATCTTGGGCGACGCCTGGGTGGCTCAGTCGTTAAGCGTCTGCCTTCCGCTCAGGTCATGATCCCAGCGTCCTGGGATCGAGCCCCGCATGGGGCTCCCTGCTCTGCAGGAGGCCTGCTTCTCCCTGTTCCACTCCCCCTGCTTGTGTTTCCTCTCTCGCTGTCTCTCTCTGTGTCAAATAAATAAATAAAGTCCAAAAAAAAAATGTATCTTGGGACACCGGGGTGGCTCAGTCGGCTCAGGTCATGATCCCAGGGTCCTGGGATGAGTCCCGCATCGCATTGGGCTCCCTGCTCAGCCGGGAGCCTGTTTCTCCCTCTCTCTCTGCCTGTCGCTCCCCTCCCTTGTGCTCTCTCTATCTCTCTGTCAAATAAATAAAATATTTAAAAAATAAAATGTATCTTAATTCCCGTTTCCCAGGAGACACCCCAAACAAGAAGGAAGAGGCACCGCAGGAAGGGTCAGGAGCCAAGGGACCCAGAAAGCCTCCCGGGAAGGAGCCTTCTAAAGAGCTGGTTAAACAGAGCCCTAACTGGACCGTCGGAAAAGTTTCGGCCAGAGCACAGCGGCCCACGAGCGCTGCCTGCAGCCAGAGCACAGGCGCGCAGCCGTCCGGCCCGGCCCCCGGCGTGGGCACGCAGGACAGCCAGCGGCGTCACGTGTGTGCGGACTGTGGCCGCCGCTTCACCTACCCCTCACTGCTGGTCAGCCACCGGCGGATGCACTCGGGGGAGCGGCCCTTCCCCTGCCCGGAGTGTGGCATGCGCTTCAAGAGGAAGTTCGCCGTGGAGGCGCACCAGTGGATCCACCGCTCCTGCTCCGGCGGGCGGCGGGGCCGGAGGCCTGGGATCCGGGCTGTGCCTCGGGCTCCGGTGAGGGGTGACCGGGACCCTCCCGTGCTGTTCCGACACTACCCGGACATCTTTGAGGAGTGCGGGTGAGCTGCTCCCGCAGGCTGGGGTTGAGCCTGACCTAGGACTGCCTGAGCCCTGAGGGAGGCTCCGGAGGCCGGGACTTGGGAATCGAAATTCATCCCTTGGGCTTCCCTCAAGGATCCCTCAAGTTTCAAAACTTGTAAAAAGAAAAGTGCCTGTAAAGATGCAAATAGATTAAACTTGACACTACTCCCGCCAGTCTTTCTAAAAAAAAAAGTGAGATGCTGGACTTTTCTCAAAGTGTTAATCTCAGCAGCAGGTGCAACGTTGTCTCAGAAACCTCCCCTTGCTACTCCTCTGCATCAGAGGCAAATGCTGAGGGGACTAAGGCCTGGGGAGGGCTCTCCCCTCTGCTCCGGGACCCAGGGCATGCGCAGGCCCCGGCTAACTGACAGCAGCAGGGACCCTGGGAAGTGAAGTGGGTGCAAAGAGTACAGAAGCACAGATCTAGTCTCTGCAACTTGTCCCCAGGCACAGCTTGCAAGTCACATGCCGTCCCTGAGCCTCAGCTCCCTCATCTGTAAAATAAAGATTAAATATATCTACCTCAACGGGTCACTGTGAAGGCTGAAATTTTAACAAGATAGTATGTAGGACAGAGTCAATGTGCAATAAACATTTGTTGAAAGAGTGAATTATCGTTGACATTTTATGCTTCCGAAAATGTAAAGAAGCCTGCTAAAGAGGCAGGGCGTGGACATCAATAGCCGTATTTTGCAGATGAGTAAACTGAGGCTCTGAGAGAGAAAGTGATTTTCTCAAAGGGTCACTGCTATAGGGCAGCAAAGCTGGAAGCTGACACAGTGCCCAGATACTACCACTTTTTTTTTAAATTTTTTTATAACTTTCATTTTTTTTCAAAGATTTTATTTATTTATTCATGAGAGACAGAGCGAGAGAGAGAGAGAGAGGCAGAGGGAGAAGCAGGCTCCCAAGGAGCAGGGAGCCCGATGTGGGACCCGATCCCAGGACCCTGCGATCATGACCCGAGCCGAAGGCAGATGCTTAACCATCTGAGCCACCCAGGCACCCGATACCTACCACTTTCTATGGGCAGTCACTTCTGGGCAGAAAACAGAGCAGGGGCTCAGGTGAGGGTGAGGTGAAAACGGGTCTGGCCAGGGGCCCAGCCCTGCCTTCCTGGGGGAGTCTCAGCAGGAAATGGAGAGCCCCACCAAGGCCAGTGACCTTTCACTTAGAAAGTGCCGGCAACATTCAGTGGCCATAGATTGAGTGGCTTCTGTGGGAGAGACTACTAGGTGGTAAGGGAGTTCGGGATGAGGCAGGCTGATCCCATTCATTCATTCATTCATTCACTCAGCAAACACATGAAGCCTCTGTGAGTTTTGTGCTGGGCTCTAGGGACCCTCAGACTCATTCATTCATTCATTCATTCATTCAGTAAACACCATATGAGGCCTCTGTGGGGTTTTGTGCTGGGCTCCAGGGACACTCAAACTCAGGTCCCATGTTCCATGGTGATTGGGGCTGTGCTGGAAGAAGTCCAGAGGCACCACCTAACCCCTCCTGGCTGGTGATCCACCAGGAAATGCAGCTTGGAGAAGGAGACGGTTATGCTTCCCATACATGAGTAGGAATTCTAATAGAAATAGTAGGAATAGTAGAGTAGGAATTGGTGTGAGGGGAGATTTTCAGGCAAAGGGAGCCTTATTTCATAGGAAGGATGAAAAATGGGCACAGTGTGGAGTCGGTGCTCGCCCCGCCTCTCTGTGCCTTAGTTTCTTTTTTTTAATTTTTTTATTGTTATGTTAATCACCATACATGACATCATTAGTTTTGGATGTAGTGTTCCATGATTCATTGTTTGTGCATAACACCCAGTGCTCCACGCAGAACGTGCCCTCTTTAATACCCATCACCAGGCTAACCCATCCCCCCACCCCCCTCCCCTCTAGAACCCTCAGTTTGTTTTTCAGAGTCCACCGTCTCTCATGGTTCCTCTTGTGCCTTAGTTTCTTAATCTGTGAAACCTGCATAATAATAGCACCTGCCTCCTAAGAGTGATGTACAGATTAAATGAGAGAATACCAAAGAAGGCTTCCCACGTTAGTGTTTAATAAACACTGGTTACTGTTATTCTAAAAGAATATAAAAGAGTATGTGAAGAGGACAAAGAGGAGACGTGGGCAGATCTTCTGAATCAAGGGAGGTTTCCTGGAGGAGGAGTTTCAAACTGGCCTTGAAGGATGGGAAAGATTTCAACCAGGTTAGGCATGTCTAGGGAATGGTCAGCAGTGCCACCTGAGTGAAACATAAAGAACTAGGTAAAGGGTCATAGAAGACACATGCAGCAATCTGGGGGGGCCAACAATCCCTGAAGGAGGGCTTGAGGTTTACCCAGTAGGCACTGAGGAGCCATAGACAGGTCTTGAACAGGGAGCAGGGCTATTTGACCAGTTCTGTCCGAAGATGTCACCTGTGCAGGAGACTAGACTAGAGATCTGTTGGGCATCTGCTCCCAGGTAGAGGTGAGCAGGAGCTGGGACCAGGCTAAAAAGCAACACTTTTTCTTGCAGTTGCCCTTGTTTGCTGACCTTGGGATTGGGGAGAAAGATATTGAGGACAGGCTTCTGCCACAGAATCTGTGTGGCTCAGTGACTGACAATAGGAGCTGGGAACAAGTACGCCCCAGGGGGCTCAAGCATGGAGAGCTGGAGCAAGGGAGCCTGAAGGTCTGGCGAGGGGCAGTCAGTCAGGAGTGGGACAGTGTGGAGCACAAGAGATGACCAGTACTGGAGAGAGGTGAGGCAAAGACAAGAGGCACCATGAGGGAGGGGGGAGCAGAACCTGGCAGAGTGTATCAGGCACAGAGTTGCCCAGGTCAGCATACGGCACAGAGTGAGTGCTGTCTGCTTTCTTTCGTGTTTATCCATTTAACAAATACCTACTAAGCATCTGCCATGTACTAGGCACTACTCTGTGTGCCAAGATAGAGCATGGAAAACAGACATAGGAACTGTTTTGGAGCTTACGTTCAAGAAGGGTAGGGTAAAGCAAGGGATAAGCCAGCACATAAGTAAGACAAGTGGGGCACCTGGGTGGCTCAGTCAGTTAAGCATCTGCCTTTGGCCCAGGTCATGATCCCAGGGTCCTGGGATCGAGCCCCATGTAGGGCTCCCTGCTCAGTGGGGAGCTTACTTCTCCCTCTCCCCCTGCTCGTGCTCTTTCTCTCAAACAAAGAAAGAAAGAAAAAGAAAGAAAGAAAGAAAGAAAGAAAGAAAGAAAGAAAGAAAGAAAGAAAGATCTCCCCCCCAAAAAAGTAAGACGGACAAGTGATAAGCCAGCACAAGTCAGACAAGTTATTATAATTGTAAATAATAAGTACCACAGAGGTACTAAAACAGGATGTCCTCAAAGTGCCCGTTGCAGACAGGTACTTAAGCCAGGTCTTGGTGTGGAGTGGAGGAGACATCTGAACCGAGATCCAAATGATGAGAAGGAGCCAAAGGGAAACAGGGGTGAGGTGGCAGGATGTGGGAGTGGGGAAGTGCAGGGTTTCAGAGGCTGGGAGTTGGGGGGGGCAGTGATTCCAGACAGAGGCAATAGCAGGTGCCATGCTCTGAGGTAGGGGTGAGTTTGGGTGAGGTACAGAAAGGACCCTGGTGGCTGGACTGAGGAACTGAGCGGAACAGAATCACAGATGAGCTTGGAGGAGGGGAAGGGAGCAGATCATAGAACTCTGGCTTGCCACGATGTCAAGTCTGGGTTTGATTCTAAACATATTGGAAAGCCACTGGGTCATGTTTGTTGTTGCCTTGTGGTAAAATACGTGTAACAAAATTTACCATTTTAAATATTTTGTTAAGTATACAGTTTAGTGGCATTAAGTACAATCACGTTGTGTGCATCCATCAGCCCTCTCTAGAACTTTTCCATCTTCCCCAGCTGAAACCCCATACCCATTAAACACTAAGTCCCCACTCCTCCTTTCTCCAGTCCTCGGCAGCCACGGTTCCATTTTCTCTCTCTATGAGTCTGACTATTCTAGGGACCTCATATAAACCATGGGGAGGTTTCAAGCAGAGTGGCAAGGTGATGTGACCGCAAACCCACTCTGGTTGCTCTGAGAATGGACTGCAGCGGGCAATGTGGTGGGGCTGAGAGCCTCAGAGGAGCCAGGAACGATGGTAAGATTTTTGGCTGAGTGAGGAGGAAGATGGAGGGGTCAGTTCCTGGGAGGTGGTGACAGGGTGGACCACAGCATTTTATTTTATTTTAAGATTTTATTTATTTATTTGACAGAGAGAGACACAGCGAGAGAGGGAACACAAGCAGGGGGAGTGGGAGAGGGAGAAGCAGGCTTCTGGCAGAGCAGGGAGCCCGATGCGGGGCTCGATCTCAGGACCCTGGGATCATGACCTGAGCCCAAGGCAGACGCTTAACGACTGAGCCACCCAGGTGCCCCACGGACCACAGCATTTTAGACCTGGAAGGGAGCTTTTAGGAGCTGCCTGGCTCAAAGGTTTAAGCAGGGTTTAGGAAGCTGTGGGTGGAATAGGTTTCTTTCCTGAGGAGATTCTCCAGGGGACATGGGGAAGAATGTTTGGTTCTTTCCACAAGCTTTCACGTAAATACTGTTGCACAGAATACGCTCTGAGAAAGGCTGAGGCCCAGAGAGGGGAAGGCCCTTACTTAAGATCACACAGTTGAAGTAGTGGCAGAGGCAGGCCTGGAACCCAAATCTCCAGATTTCTCAGTGGATGTTCTTGCTCTTTTCACTATACCAGGCTGCGGTGTCGATGGATGGGAAAGGCAAAAGGCTGGAGGCCCAGAGATCAGCCAGGCCACCCAAGCCTAAATCAGCGAGGGCCTGGGCAAGAGGAGCCCACTGGTGAGAGATGCAACAGGGTACCTTTTGTGAAGCCTGTCGTCACCCTTCCCCCAGGGCAATTTCACATACCTTCTAAACACCTGAATGACATTTTTTTTTTTTTTTGCCATGACATGACTCTTAAATACAACCCTTTTACTTACTTTCAGTACTTACCATAGCCCATCATTTAAGTTTTTTTTCTCTTTACATTTACATGACAGCATGGAGTTGTATAGGTGACCAGAAGCAGCTCTTCTAACCTCCCAGGTTGCTGCCATATCTCACGTTTCAACTGCATCTTGGTAGCCTGTCTTAAAATCCTACCTCGCTCTGTGGTTGCTGAGATTGTACCTTCAATTATTCAAAGCATTACAGCATGGGTTCTGGAGTTAAGACTGCCTGGGTTTGAATCCTGGCTTCACCACTTACTAGCTGGGTGGCCTGGGGCAAGGTGACCGCTCTCTGCCTCAGTTTCCTCATCCAGAAGGGTACTTATCTCTGAGGGATTGTGAGAATTCAATGAGTTAACAGGCAGAAGCACTTAGAACAGTCTGGCATATAGTAAGTGATCAAGTAAGGTAAACTAGTATGATTAATGTCTTAGTTCTATCACAGAACAAACTGCATCCCTTGCATAGTCGGCCATTGTTCTTTTAGAGGAGCTTTGACTTGGGAAGTCTGGGGGCACCTTCAAACCGAGTGTTAAAACAAACAAGTCAGGTGATTCAGTCACTCATCTGCTTTTTATACAATCATCTCTTAAATAGAGAATGGAGTTCATTTTCACAAGGTCAGCAGGGGTCAGTACATTCAAAGTCTTCAGTTGCTTTCCTGGAACAGGCCTGGAGGAGGCAGCGCAAGATGGTGAAAAAGGCTGAATTTAGGGGTCTGAAGCTGCTCAGTCAACTAATGGGCTGCCTGACCTTGGTAACCACCAGGCTTCAGTTTCTTCTTCGGTCAAAGAGCTGAACTCTAAGGCATTCAGAGGCATTCGGTCTAGTGTCCTCGGTTAAAGAGCTAGCAAGTGTATGGAAATAGCAGATAGGTAGACAGGCTATATCTGGAGGCATGTTCTAGAAACTCCTAATAGAAGAAAAGGGTGGGGGAGGAGACGTCACAGAATATTATTCTGTACCTTGTAAACGAAAAAAAGTTGAGAAATGAACTAGCTTGCCAAAAAGAAATTTTCTTTTAAGACCAGGTCACTGAGTGGGCGTTCTGAAGGGGGCTGGGAGGGAGTCGCCAGGCCGAGGGCCCAGAGTCCTGGCCCCTTTCCCCCTCTCTCGGACCCCTAGCAACCGGCTGCGCTCACGCACCCGAGCCTCCTCCCTTTTCCCCCCGCCGGACCTGAGCACGGACGCCGAAGCGGCCGCGGCCATCTTAACTGTGGGCAAGAGGCGCTTCCCAAGGCGGCTTGCGGAATAGCAGAGGACAGCTGGAGAGAGGAATAAACCAGGTCATCAATACCAGACCCTGGTAGTGGCGTCACCCTGGTAGTGACGCTGTTAAATGCTTCTCTAAAACTGAAAAACACTGGAATGCCACCATCTTTTCTGAAGGCGCCTTCATTTTCTTGGTCGCGCAACCACCGAGTTCGCGTAACCGACCGTTTCTAGCTGTCCTAGAGCCGCCCCACCCGAGGCTACTGGCCGGCCGCCTAGGCCCGGAAGAATCTAGCTCCCTGGAGGCGGAATGCTGGGCGTCCCCTCCCCGGTGCAGGGGTGCTGGTGGGGAGGGGCGTTTGGGTCCCTGGCCCTGCTCCCGGCTCGGTGCTGAGGTGCCCGCCGAGGCCCATATGCGTAGACCTGACGCGGGAGATCGATAGCCAACCCGCATCTCTGAAAAGGGAAGGGGGCGGGTGGGATGCGCAGGTCTGAGTGCCAGACTCGCCCCCACTCCTGCCCTCAGATGACTTCGTTTCCTGTGACCCCCGCCAGATTGGCCCCACTGAAATTTACAGCGGAGCCTCTTTGGCCAGGCTCTTCCGTGGTTCCCCAGGACTTCTGCAAAAAGTTCAGAACCTGTGTACCACAGTGTGAAAGCCCGTGGCTTGCTAACCCCCAATTCAAACCCAGTCTCTCCCTACAGGCTAATGATCCCATTGGCTCCAGCTACAAAGAATCTTTGGGTTGGTTTTTTTTTTTTTTTTTTTTAATATTTTATTTATTTGACAGAGAGAGGGAACAGAAGCAGGGGGAGTGGGAGAGGCAGAAGCAGGCTTCCTGCGGAGCAGGGAGCCCTGGACACACATCTGGCTTAATGAGCCTAATCTAACATCTTTCAATGCCCTTTTCAAATGCCTTTCAAATGTCTCTAAGAAATTCTTCCTGAAGCTCTTCTGCCGCAAGTAGGAAGTCTCAGCTGCAGCTTTGTCTAGCTCTTTAACTGCCTGAAGGTCTCTGCACCTTTGCCCCCAGAGCTCATAGGTGCCTTCTCTCTCCCTTAGCGTAAACCTAGAGCTTAGTGTAAACTTAGAGTAGGAACCTTATCTTGGTTCACCAATGTCTCCCAACACCTAGAACATCTAGAACAATGCCTGCCACACAAACAATGCCCAATATGTTTTCATTAAATGAATGAAGAATTGTTTATTGAGTGATTAACGTTCTTCTCCAAGATTCCAGAGCCCAAACCAGCTCTCATCTCCTGGGTAGAAAAGATGGCCCAGATGTGGAGTGCAGATGCTCAGGATCCCCAGGTGGATGCCTGAGAGAAAGAAAGATGAGGAGTGGGGGTAATGTTCCAGGTCCAGCTGGAAGAGAAAATGTTTTGTTGAACAAGAAACACCATCTAGGGATGCCCGGGTGGCCCAGTCGGTTAAGCGTCTGCTTTCGGCTCTGGTCATGATCCCAGCGCCCTGGGATCGAGTCCCGCATCGGGCTTCTTGCTCAGCGGGGAGTCTGCCTCTCCCTCTCCATCTGCCTTTCCCCCCTCCTCCGCTCATGCTCTCTCTCTCTCTCTCAAATAAATAAAATCTTTTAAAAAAGAAAGAAAGAAACACCATCTACATGTACCTTACTACTTTTTGCTGGCCTGATTTTTTTTAATGTTTTTTTAAAAGATTTTATTTTTAAGATTTTATTTATTTATTTGAGAGAGAGAGAATGAGAGATAGAGAGCAGGAGAGGGAAGAGGGTCAGAGGGTCAGAGGGAGAAGCAGACTCCCTGCTCAGCAGGGAGCCTGATGTGGGACTTGATCCCGGGACTCCAGGATCATGACCTGAGCCGAAGGCAGTTGCTTAACCAACTGAGCTACCTAGGCGCCCAGATTTTATTTATTTATTTGACAGGGAGAGAGACAGAGAGAGACGGAACACAAGCAGGGGGAGTGGGAGAGGGAGAAGCAGGCTTCCCGCGCAGCAGGGAGCCTGATGCGGGACTCGATCCCGGGACTCCAGGACCATGACCTGAGCCGAAGGCAGTCGCTTAACCAACTGAGCCACCCAGGCGCCCTCGCAGACTTTTATTTTTTTAAAAGATTTTATTGATTGATTTGACAGAGACGACACAGCGAGAGAGAGAACACAAGCAGGGGGAGTGGAAGAGGGAGAAGCAGGCTTCCTGCCGATCATGGAGCCCGATGCGGGGCTCAATCCCGGATCAGGACCTGAGCTTAACCGACTGAGCCACCCAGGCGCCCCTGCTGGCCTGAATTTATGATACCCACCGGAGACTAGAATCTTGACCTTCTCTTTTTCACTTAATTGAGGCATCCACGCGTCCCAAGATCAGGTCACACTGTACAAATCATCCAAACTCTAGGTCAGTGTCAACGTGTGAATGAAAGTTTAGGATGGAAGCAGTTCCCCTTCCTGTAGGTGCCTGTGCCTTATAACACCTGTTTCTCTGGTTGAGGGTGTCTCTTTGGGTTGGTCCTGAAGTGGGAATGTCCCTGACTTGCCGTGACCCCCTCAATTGGTCAACACAGTCTAGGTGGGTGCTTCCAGGGGCTAGGCACCCATCTGAGGTTGTGAAAGTTGATTCTGCCACCTAAACATTGAGTAGAGTTTGACTAAATAGGGCAAAAAGTAAGTTTTGAATCTGCTGTTTCAAAACAGCCACTCAGAAAAATGATACATTTGGAAGAAGCCAGCAGGAGTCTACTGGGGAGTTGTCATGAGCCCCTGGGGTCAGAGACACTAGCTTGGTCTCTGAGCCTGTGGCCAAAGCACCCCAGGTAGACAGGCCTTTCCCAAGCCCCAACTCTACACCCAGCCTCAGTGCCTGGTACTCACACAGCACCCTGCCCCGAGTGCAGGCACGCTTTGCCATGACCTTTCACCTGACTCAGTGCATTCTGGAGAGGGGCCCTTTGCCTGCGCGTAGTGTGGCACCTGTTTCTGCCACAGGTGGTACCTCTCGTGCTACCTGCTGACTCACACAGGCAAGCTGACCTATTCCTGTCCCCAGTGTGGAAGGTGCTTTAGCCAGAGGCCCACCAGTAGACCTCAGTGCCAGCCTGGTGCCGTGGACCTCAAGGGCTGACACACAGGTGTGAACTCTGCCCTGGGCTCTTCCTCAGGAGTGTTCAGACCCCTCTGTGAGTTTCCAGCACTACCCAGAGCTCTTCCAGGCCTATGTGTGAGAGGCATCACCGTGAGGGGTGGGCGCTGACAGATGATAAAATGCTATTACTCTTACTGAAAAAAAATTTTTTTTTCTTGTGTCCTTCAGGTACCGGAGGCTAGGAGTAGCTAGGGCTAAGTCCATGGGCAAATCTGCATCCTTACCTTTTCCCAGGCTTTTCATCTTTTCCTTTTCCCCTTTCTACTTTGATTACCTCTACTTGCCCAGCTCCTCTGGCGTAGGGGAGAAGCATCCACCAGATACAAGGTGTTAGGCAAAAGCCTCAGGAAGACCTCTGGAAGGAAGCAAGCAGAGAGAAGCTCCAGACTAGACCCCAGACCTGGTGAAGGAAGGTGTGAAATGCAGTGATTTAGCCGGCCAAAGGAAAATTATCAAGTCTTTTTAGGGTAGGGTATTTATGAAGGCATATGGGGACGCAGAGTAAGCCGTCAATAAATGTGTGGAGTGAGAGAAGGAGGTTAGAGGTAGAAATGATAGGGAGAGTGGGTGTCACTTGCTTATAAAGACCCCAGGAAGAGCAGGCTGGGGGCAGAAAGGGATGATGAATTCAGTGGGAGCCATGCCTAGTGTGAAGTTCTAGTGGGAATTCGTGCAGGGGCAAGGGAGCAGGTGGCTCTGTGATCAGGAGCTTAGGAGCCAGGCTTGAGCTAAAGGTAAATAGATGTTCGACGGGCCTCCTGCAGAGCATGTGCGGAGAAAGTAAGAAAGTAAGGTTGCAAAAAGTGGGTCCTGCCGACTTTTACAGACCTTACCCTACCCGCCCCCAGCCGCCGCCACGATCTCCTTAATAGAAGCTCCCGGTAGAGAAGGTTCTCTTTTACCCACTACATTTTTCTCCTCTCAACATTGGGGAAAGTGCGTTGTCACCCAGTGACGGGCCGAAACCCAGGAACCCACTTATGAACGGCCCGGCGACGAAAAGTAGCGTGGAACTCACGAGGGCAGAGCGGGCCGGGTCAGCCCGCACCCTCCGCCGCGCCCGTCCCGCCTCCAAACCCGGGCGGGGCTGCGGCTGCGCCTCCCAGCGCGGCGGGCGCGTGCACTTCGCGGGGCGGAGGCGGCTCGCCGCCCCCTCCCGCACTTGTAGCCGTCGCGGCCATTTTGGCTGAGGGCTCGAGGACAAAGCCCCCTGGAGACCCCGGGGAGGCGTCATCTGGGCACGGTTGCGTAGGAGAAACGTTCGCGCGGCGCGTTGCCGCCATTTCTTTCTGATGCTCTGTGTCCCTTCCGCTCGCGGCTCTTGGTCCTTGGCCACCCTGGTGGGCCTTCGAGGGGCGGCCTGCTGCGCTCGCGGCCTTCCGGCCCGCGCCCTGGCCCGGGGACGTCTTCCTGCGCGGGCGGCTCCGCGGACCCCGGCCCGGCCCTTGCCATGGCGCCGCCTCCGGCCCCGCTGCCCGCGTGGGAACCGGACGGCGCGGGGCGCGAGCGGAGGGGGCCGGGCGGCGTGAGCTTCGCGGACGTGGCCGTGTACTTCTCCCCCGAGGAGTGGGGCTGTCTGCGGCCCGCGCAGAGGGCCCTGTACCGGGACGTGATGCGGGAGACCTACGGCCACCTGGGCGCGCTCGGTGAGGCCCCGCCGGCTCGCCCGGGCCACCTCCCCGCCCACCCCGCCCACCCCGCCCAGCCTCCCGGGCCGGCCCCGGCAGTGGGAGCCCCGAGGTCCGGGAAGCCGGGGCGACGGGGGGCGGCCTCCCGGCAGCGTGGGGTTTCCGTTCTCCTCCCCCAGGGTTCCGAGGCGCCAAGCCAGCTCTCATTTCCTGGGTGGAGGAAGAGGCGGACCTGTGGGGCCCGGCTGCCCGGGATCCGGAGGTGGGAGAGTGTCTGACAGAAGCAGACGCAGGTGAAGTATTGGGTACTGCGTCTCCCGGGACCGCCTCTGGGCCTGGGCCACCCAGCTGACCTTCTGCCAACACCTTCCCTGCTCCTCATTTTCTTCCCTGGGTTGCTTTCCCCGCTGAGGTTACCATGCCGGCCCGTGCCTCGCTGCAGGCTTCAGCCTAGAAAGGGGCTGCGAGTGTGGCCCGGGCTCTGCTGGGGTGCGGGGCCCTGCGTACCTGCCTCTCCAGCGAATCTGTGCCCCTCACATCTGGTTGGTCTCAGAGCTCTCTCGAGCTTCACATCATCCCTCCTGCCGCTTTCCTACACTCTAGCTTCGCGGCCGCCTCTTGTGTTTTAGCTTCCTTTCTTTTTGTTACGTTTTTGTGGTCTCCTTTCTCGTGGGTTCCACTGTTTGTTTACTTCCTCCAGTTGATCCTTGCACCGCACCCCCTCCCTGTGAGCTTGTCAATGCCGGCCACGGTCCTGCCTCTCTTGCACGAACATGTTCCTGCTGCCTGGAGTGTCCTGAGACATCCTGTCATCCTCCAGGATCCAGCAAGAATGTCCCCTCTGCCCGCATTTCCCCAGCTCTGAGGTAGAACGTACGGTGTTCCGTTCCTTCCTTCCTTCTTTGTCTTGGTGTCTTTTCTGTCCTCTGCAGTTCAGGAAAATGTGTCACTCCGAGCTTCCTTGCCTGTACCGAGCTGAGTCCCAGAGGCAGCAGTGGGTCCAGAAGGTGGCTGTATCTAAAAGGCTTCTCTGTCACCATTTGGGGTTTGGCCATAAGAACCAGGGTAAGCGAGGGTCTAAGCTCTCCCCTTACCTCCCAGCAGATTCCAGAAACAAGGAAGAGAAAAAACAAAGAGAAGGGACTGAGGCCCTGAAGAAGAGCCTTTCTGTGGAAGCTCCTGGGCCAAAGGCTCCAACACACCCTTCTGCTGGGTTCCCTGACAGCTTGGAGCAGCCGTCCAAGGCACCTCGCCGGGGTCGCCCCCCACTCTGTACGCATCCCCCTGTCCCAAGAGCCGACCAGCGTCATGGTTGCTACATGTGCGGGAAGAGTTTTGCTTGGCGCTCCACCCTAGTGGAGCACCTGTACACCCACACGGGGGAGAAGCCCTTCCGTTGCCCTGACTGTGGCAAGGGCTTCAGCCAGGCCTCCTCTCTGAGCAAGCACCGGGCCATCCACCGTGGGGAGCGGCCCCACCGCTGCCTGGACTGTGGCCGGGCCTTCACCCAGCGCTCTGCCCTCACCACTCACCTGCGGGTCCACACGGGCGAGAAGCCCTATGGCTGTGCTGACTGTGGCCGCTGCTTTAGCCAGAGCTCTGCCCTCTACCAGCACCAGCGGGTCCACAGTGGCGAGACTCCCTTCCCCTGCCCGGACTGTGGCCGTGCCTTTGCCCATGCGTCAGACCTTCGGCGCCACATACGCACCCACACGGGCGAGAAGCCCTACCCGTGCCCAGACTGTGGGCGCTGTTTCCGACAGAGCTCCGAAATGGCAGCCCATCGGCGTACCCACAGCGGTGAACGCCCCTACCCCTGTCCTCAGTGTGGCAGGTGCTTTGGCCAGAAGTCAGCCATGGCCAAGCACCAGTGGGTTCATAGGCCTGGTGCCGGGGGGCCCAGGGGCCGGGGTGCCAGTGCGTTGCCTGTGCCTCTGGCCCCTGGCCAAGGGGACCTGGACCCACCTGTGGGCTTCCAGCACTACCCAGAAATAATCCAGGAGTGTGGGTGATGGTCCTAAAGATGTCAAGGCAAAGGGTGAAGATCTAGACATTGCCTGAGGCCCAGGTTGGGCTCAGGGGCCTGAACCTCTGTGGCAGCTCCAGGGAGGTCCCACAATTCCAGGCAAGAGGTGGACCTGGGGGATGAGGAACTTCTTACCTTAGGCCTTCACAAGCTTGATCTGCTGACACCTTGCTCCCTACTGTCCCAGACTCTAGAAGCCCCCTCTGCTCCGTTAGGGCTGAGGTAAGCACCTGCACAAGACCTCCGCTGTGGGGAAGAAAAGGCTCTTTCTCCACTTAGACATGTTAAGAGGATTGAGGTAGAAGGGAAGTTTGCTGTATTGGTTGTCTTTACTGCAGGGGTTAAAAACTGACGGCCTTGTACTGAATCTGGCTCGTAGCAAACCTTTTACAAAGTATTTGTGGTCCAACCAGCATTTTAAAATGTTACAAATCATGGTTAAGACTTAAAAGGATATTTCACACAAAAATTCAGGTTTCTGGCCTCTTTTGAAAAATTCGGGGATTTGGCAACTCGACCTGAGCTCCCACAAAGGCACAGGTGGCAGGAAGCGCAGGGCAGCTGTTCAGCCTGCCCACCAGCCCTTCCCGGCTTGCCACCAGTGTCAGCTGGCCCTTGTCCCCACTTGTCCATGTCCCCAGTACAGCAGGCCCTCTCCATCGGGCATTTTCCCCTTGTTTACGTGACCCGCTGGCTTCCTGTAGTCATTTGAGTTTGCAGACTGGTGGATAGCATTCATGTTCTATTTTATTTTTTATTTTTTATTTATTTTTATTTTTTTTAAGATTTCATTTATTTGACACAGAGAGTGAGAGAGCAGAAGCAGGGGGAACAGTAGAGGAAGAGGGAGAAGCAGGGAGCCCGATGCGGGGCTCGATCCCAGGACCCTGGGATCATGACCTGAGCTGAAGGCAGACGCTTAACCTGAGCCACCCAGGCGCCCCACGTTCATGTTGTCCTCACCCAGGGATTTAGGTTGACAGCACCCGTGTGAAAGGGCAGGAGAAGAGAAGGAAAAGCAGGCTTTATTTCAGATGTCTGCTTGTATCACGTTCTCTGGTTTACAAAGTACTGTTTTGTCCATCAGCTTGGACCTTGTCCATGTAGCTTGGAAAGGACAGCCCAGTCAGGAAGAGGCTATATTTTGCCCCAAACCGAGAGGCATCTCTGCCACGCCACGATAGGCCTCTTGGTTGACCGGCAGTTCCTGGTTTTGAAGAGGAAGGCTCTGAGTGTGCCCTCCAGTCCTCCTTGAGCCTCCCTGGGAGAGCCCTATTGCTCAGGCCTTAGCCACCAGCCAGCCAGCCAGGAGGGCCTCATCACATTTTTGATCTGGAAGAGATCTTAGTTTTTCTGTCCTTCTCTTTGGGGACTCAGACTGGGGAAGGCCAAACGACCCGTCCAAGGTCACATACAGAGTGAGTGAGACTCCAGGGTTCTTGGTTTACTGCTGTCTTTACCACGCCATGCCTGAGTTCCTTGCCCGTGTCTCAGCCAGGGTTCTGGAGCAATCTGCTCCCTCCCTACGACAGTTCCCAAACAATGACCTGGACTAGGGACAGAGCAACCCAGTGTCAGTGAGGCCCAGTTACAAAATGACAGAACAGCCACACAGCAAAGCAAGGCAAGGGAGAAACCAGCCTGAGATGAGAGTTCCAGGGCAAACAGAAGCAAAGCTTGCCTCTTCTCTTTTTAAGTACCTCTCATCATGAACAAAGAAGGACAAGGCCAGGAACATTTGGGGTTAGTAGCCAAGGGAACTGCTCATCTGTATTCCCAAGCCGTATTGCTTGTGACTCCATTATCCATTAGCCACCCAGTTCCGCTGTGTTCAGAGTCCAGCCTTGTCCCAGTGACGCTGCTACCAGCCACGGGCAGACCCGTTCCTGCCTCCTTCACCTTCACCTCGAGGAGTAATAGCAGGGGCTTATGTCTTCTGCCGGTCTGTGTGCACCCGTCTCCTTCACCCAAATCTGTCCCGTGTCCTGTCTGGCCTATCTTAGGAAGAAACCAGATTTGTCAACCTAGAGAAACTTCTAAAGGAAGAGGGAGAAAATCGGGGGGGGAAAGACACTGTTCAGGTGAAATAATCAACTGAATTGATACCAATTTAATCTTCAGATCTGACCCCACCAGGACCTGGCTTACCCTAAATTTTAGTGGGAGGGTTGGCTCAGGTGCCATCTTGTCACAAGGGGGACGTGCAGTGAAAAGAGGCACCTTGACAGCAGGACCTACCTTTGTACCAGCTTCTAATTCCCTAAAGAGAAGCCAGCGTACAGCCCTTCCGTTGCCTCACGCTCAGCACTGCCCGGGGAAAGCCCAGCCTGCAATACCGGTTGTCAGCTCAGATTCAAAGTCAGATCTGGATCCTGCCCTCAGCTTGACAATTAAAGGTACCATAATTACTACTTTCTCCGAGTGCTTTGAAGTTTGCCAAGCTTGCTTAGGGCCCCAAAACCAGACCCAGCTCCTCCGCTTCCTGCCCTCACGACCCAACTTTCTGCCATTTAATCGATTTTTGAGTGTCACGAAATGCTTAAGCCTTAGCCTCACTCCATTCTCAGCTCATTTCTTGGCATGGTTGCTGCCACCAGAGATGGGGCTCCCTTTTCTCTCTCTGCTCCCATAGGTCTTTAAGGCTTAGACCCCAAAGCACTTTTAAGCCAGGAAGAGGGTTTTCCTAGGGCTTTCTTGGTACATCAGGAGAAATGCTTGTCTGAATCAGACAAAATGAGCCCCGTGCAAATGGCCAGAGTGAAAGGTCAAAGTCATGACCACGTGGCCCATTCCTAACTTGTCCAAGCCATGTAAAATGAGGGCAAGTGTCGACTTGAGCTTTTAAAGACCCTTAAACATTTTTTTAAAGGTTTTTATTTATTTGAGAGAGAGCACAAGGGGTGTGTGTGGTAGGGGAATAAGGAGAAGCAGGCTCCTCACTGAGCAGGAAGCCCCACAGGGAATGCGGGCTCCATCCTAGAACCCTGAGATCAAGACCTGAGCCGAAGGCAGATCCTTTTTTTTTTTTTGAAGATTTTATTTATTTGACAGACGGAGACACAGCGAGAGAGGGAACACAAGCAGGGGGAGTGGGAGAGGGAGAAGCAGGCTTCCTGTGGAGCAGGGAGCCCGATGTGGGGCTTGGGATCATGGGCCCTGGGATCATGACCTGAGCCGAAGGCAGATGCCTAACCGACTGAGCCACCCAGGCGCCCCCCCGAAGGCAGATGCTTAACGGACTGAACCATCCAGGTGCCCCAAGACCCCTAAACATTTTTGAATGTTTGTTTATGTGTGTCTCTAGGAATGGGATGTGCAAAGATGTTTATGACCCAAAGAAGGAAAAACCTGCTCTAGGCCAGTATTTTTCTTTTCTTTTTTTTCCCTTTTTTAAAGATTTTATTAGAAAGTGAGCACAAGCAGGGTGGGGAGGGGCAGAGGGAGAGGGAGAAGCAGACTCCCCACTGAGTAGGGAGCCCAATGTGGGGCTTGATCCCAGGACCCCAGAATCATGACCTGAGTTGAAGACAGATGCTTAACTAACTGAGCCACTCAGGTGCCCCTAAGCAAGTATTTTTCAAAGTAAGGCCTTTCTGCCACAGAATCCCATTCAGTAACTTTAAAATGTAGCCAACTCCCTGGGCTTTATCTCTGGAGTATTGAATCAGAATCTCCAGGGATGGACTCTCACACCTGGTAATGATGCTCTGAACAAAATGTTACTTTCTAGCTACTTTTAGTTTTGCAAATGCTTGAGGTCAGAGGATGACAAAGACTCCCATTTTGTTTGTTCTTCCCAAAGGGGCCTGTGCCATGGCTGAGCTCTTCTTGGTACCTCAAATCTTCTTGAATATACAGGGACGTCTCTCGTAGCATCTGTCCGTTGCATGCAGGGAAAGAGCAGTTCACGCAGGAGTCGCCCTCATACTGAGGGCCTTTGCTCAAGTGTTGGCCAAGTTGGCTGGACTGTAAGTGTTGGCTGCACACTGAATATCTCTGCCCCAGCTCTGCCACACACCGGTAAAGATCCTATGGACAAAGTGGCTGCCCAACTCAGGACACAAACACAGCTCCTCCTCACCAGGACACAGTGGTAGAATAAGGTCAGTGGACTCTTGCCTTGGATCAGTTGGTGCCGGGTCAAGCTGGAACCCACATCAGAGGATTCCCTGTGCTTAGAGCCTCTCACTGCTATGGGTGAGTGGCAGACAGGCTGGTTGCTTCTCAGGCCTATTGTATGGATAGGCCTGGTGCTGGAGGAGGCTGCCTGGAAGTCAGCTCCTCCTTTACTCTAGGCACTAGGAAGACTGAATGTCCATGTGGCAATGCAGGTGCCAAAGCAGCTTGCAGCCCTGCCCTGACTTCTGCTACATGTGGGGCTGGTGGAGAGTGCTGCAGACAATGGGACCGGGTCAGAGCTGGGGTTGGAGGCCTCGCCACGCACTTTGCAGGGAACAGCTGCTCTCCTGTGTACATTTTCTGGTGGGTAAGCAGGTTGGAGATCAGAGAAAAGTGTCTCATGAAGGAGACTTCCGTTTCTCATTCGTGTGAGTGCTTTGGGAATGACCAGAGAGTGCTCCAGGTCCAGCTCCTTCCATAGTCAGTGCACTTGTAAGGTGTCCTGCCCGTGTGGGCCATCTAGTGCTGGACTGGGTGAGCCATTCTTCACAGAAGGTTTTAGGACAGACACAGAAGGTTTTAGGACAGACTGACAGTGGGGTGGGAGACAGGCATGGAGCTGGAAGCTGTTCCTCTTCATGGGAGAAACGTGCTTCTGCTTTATTTGTAGGGAGATAATTGTGATTCTCTTTGTAAGCCTCTGTTTTCTCTAGGCTTTTACTGCTTGCAATTCTCCAGATTCTTGTTCTCATCTCTTTTCAGGAGAATGGAAGATGCCATCTTTCCTCCTAAACCAGTTTCTTCCCTTCATTTGTCTGAGAAGGCAACGAGATAACACAATCATGGCTCCTGCATCACTCACACAGGGAGAATTTGGCTCATCAATTGTCAAGAACGCTACCAAAATACTTTCAGCAGCAAGGGTAAAAAAGGGAACAAGAATTGTCTTTCCAGATTCACTTTTCCCTTGATTGAAAGCTGCGCCAAGGGCAGTGTTTCTTAGGTTCCCTTCTACAAGCGTCTGTCCAAGTCAGACAGGACTGTAGAGTTCTTAGCTCCCTTAAAGGCCAGATGGTTCTCTACTTCTGAACACCACCCTCACCTGGAAGTAACTCCCGTAGGATCCCTGCCTCTCTGTGAGAAAACCCAGGAACCAGGGACTAAGGTTCCCACTTCGGGGACGGTGGAAGGGATAGGCAGGTAACAGAAAGGAAAGCAGCCTCCTCTCTGCGGGAGGATCGGCCAACTGGCCCCTTTCAGCACCAGGAACCTGTGGGAGAAAGGAAAGTGCTGGGAAAGGAAGTATGCGGGAGACCGGGGGGGGGGGGGCGGTGTAGGGAAGGCTGTCTGTCTCCAGATCCCTTGGCTTGCTTCAGAGAGATAAGACATAATGAAAGGTAAGTAGAGGCGGGAAAAGTTCTGAAAGCACCAGCCGGAGGACGGGCAGGGAGACACCAGGCACCTCCCTCTCAGCCCTCCCGCAGGCACTTCTGACCGCTGGGGTAGGTGGAACCGGCCTGCCCCCTCCAGCCAATCAGAAAGGTGCCTCGCGTTCCCTGGCGACCATTAACTCCTGGCAGTTGGTGTAGTGGGAGGAGGCGGGACGACGAGAGCACAAGCTCCCCCGGCCAATCGCTGTACTCTTTGGGTGGTAGGGGCGGTGCCTCTGGAAACCCGAGGCGGGGCTGTTTCATTGGCAACGATCCTAGCCCTCCAGGAGTGGGTAGGGTGGAGATTAGGAGGGGCAGAGAGGGGAGGGGGCCGGGAGGAGTGAGGGTGGGCGCGCTGGTGCGGAGGAGTAGAGTTCGGGTTGGGCGGGTGGGAGCCCCAAGACTCAGGAGCTCAGGGCTGGGGGTGGGGTCCGTCTAGGTTCCCGAGGCGCGGCCGAAGCTGACCCCAAGGCCCGGGAGGGGAGGGGAGCTAGACACCGCCCCCGCTGGCGCCGGGAAGCGTCGCTCCTTCTCGCTGACCTTGGTCTCGCTTGTCGCCTCGCCCTTGGCCACAGGCACTGACGGACGCAGGGCCCGGGAGACGGATAGATAGGCTCCTGGACGGACGGAGACCTAGGACATAGCACACAAACTACCCCAGCCTTTCCTGCCGGCTCCAGGGCTTCTCGTCATCCCCCACCTCAAAGCCGGGGCCATCCAGCCCAGGGTTAATGCCAACGAGTTTCCACCTCCAGCCGCTCCTAGAGAGGCCGTGGCGCTAGCCAGCGGGGGAAACTGGCCGCGGACGGACACTTCCTGTGCGGGGGGAGGGGGGAGGGGGTCGGACAGCCGCAGCCCAGCCGGGGCTGGGGGGCCAGACTGCGGGGTCGCGGGCGGGGAGCGGCGTCCGGGGGCGGCAGGGCAAGTCGTGAAGACCCTCGTCTCCGAGGCCACGACGCACGGGGGCCTTGGAGGGCCCCAGGGCAAGGCGAGACCTTGTGGGTGGGGGCGGGGCCGCGGGTAGGGGAGGGGCCCGGCCGGCCAGAGAGGCCCAGGGTCAAGACGTCCGGCCTCAGGGGCCCGGGCTGGGCAGCCGGGTCCCCTGGGCGGCGCTGAGCAGGCGGGCGGCGAGGGCCCGGGTCTCAGGGCACTCAGGCCTGGTCGCAGGATCGTCCGCCATCGCCGCCGCCGCCGTACTGGGAGCCGGCGGGGATGGAACGGGAGGCGTCGCCGTGGGGCCTTGAGCCCGGGGATGTGCAAAGTCCTGACGAACTGGGGAGCCCCGAAGGGTCCCTCAAAGGTGAGGGAGGGAGCGTCTCTCTGAGGAGCGTGCCTGGGAGCGGGAGAGGGGGCTGTGGGCCATGGGAGGGGAAGAGAGCGGGGGCGGGGGGCTTGGACACCTGGGACTTGGAGGAGGCGGGGGCGGGGACTGGAAGTCCTGGGTCGGCGGAGGGGGAGGTGGGAATTTCAGCACCTGCTCAAGGGCCAGCGACCCTGCTGGAGGAGGAGGGAGGGGTTTGTGGCAACTAGTGGTGGGACCAAATGACCTTCCAGGCCCCGCACAATCTGTGTGTTCTGTAATTCTCTGATCCTGCAGGCAACATGAGTGAGAATGAGGAAGAAGAAATGTCTCAACAAGAAGGCACTGGGGACTATGAGGTCGAAGAGATACCCTTTGGGCTTGAACCCCAGAGCCCTGGGTTTGAGCCACAGAGCCCCGAGTTTGAACCCCAGAGCCCCAGGTTTGAGCCTGAAAGCCCAGGTTTTGAGTCCCGAAGCCCTGGGTTTGTGCCCCCAAGCCCTGAATTTGCACCCAGAAGCCCTGAATCAGAGAGTCCTGAGTTTGAACCCCAAAGTCCTAGGTATGAGCCCCAAAGCCCTGGGTATGACCCCAAGAGCCCTGGATATGAACCCCGGAGCCCTGGTTATGAACCCAAGAGCCCTGGTTATGAACCCAAGAGCCCTGGGTATGGATCCCAGAGCCCTGGGTATGAATCCCAGAGCCCGGAATATGAGGCCCAGAATCCTGAGTTCAAAACCCAAAGCCCTGAATTTGAAGCTCAAAGTTCCAAATTTCAGGAAGGTGCAGAGATGCTTCTGAATCCTGAGGAAAAGAATCCTTTGAGCATCCCCTTGGGAGTCCACCCCTTGGACTCCTTCACCCAGGGGTTTGGGGAGCAGCCCACAGGGGGCCTACCCCTAGGGCCACCTTTTGAGATGCCCACAGGGGCCCTGCTGGCCACACCCCAGTTTGAGATGCTCCAGAATCCCCTGGGCCTGACAGGGGCCCTTCGGGGGCCAGGCAGGCGGGGTGGCCGGGCCAGGGGTGGGCAGGGCCCTCGGCCTAATATCTGCGGCATCTGCGGGAAGAGTTTTGGGCGGGGCTCCACCCTGATCCAGCACCAGCGCATCCATACGGGTGAGAAGCCCTATAAATGTGAGGTCTGTAGTAAGGCCTTCTCCCAGAGCTCTGACCTCATCAAACACCAGCGCACCCACACGGGCGAGCGGCCCTACAAGTGTCCCCGTTGTGGCAAGGCCTTCGCCGACAGCTCTTACCTGCTTCGCCACCAGCGCACCCACTCTGGTCAGAAGCCCTACAAGTGCCCGCACTGCGGCAAGGCCTTCGGTGACAGCTCCTACCTCCTGCGGCACCAGCGCACCCACAGCCACGAGCGGCCCTACAGCTGCCCCGAGTGTGGCAAGTGCTACAGCCAGAACTCTTCCCTGCGTAGTCACCAGAGGGTGCACACCGGGCAAAGGCCCTTCAGCTGTGGCATCTGTGGCAAGAGCTTCTCGCAGCGCTCGGCGCTCATCCCCCATGCCCGCAGCCACGCCCGCGAGAAGCCCTTCAAGTGCCCTGAGTGCGGCAAGCGCTTTGGCCAGAGCTCGGTGCTGGCCATCCACGCCCGCACCCACCTGCCAGGCCGCACCTACAGCTGCCCCGACTGCGGCAAGACCTTCAACCGCTCCTCCACGCTGATTCAGCACCAGCGCTCCCACACGGGCGAGCGGCCCTACCGGTGCGCCGTGTGCGGCAAGGGCTTCTGCCGCTCCTCCACGCTGCTGCAGCATCACCGGGTCCACAGCGGGGAGCGGCCCTACAAGTGCGATGACTGTGGAAAGGCCTTCTCGCAGAGCTCCGACCTCATCCGCCACCAGCGGACCCATGCAGCCGGCCGGCGCTGACCTGGGGCCCTGCCAGAGGCTGGGGAGGTGGTGGGCAGAAGAGAAGAGGCCAGGGAGCTAGAGAAAAACCTTTAGAGGGGATAGTGGGAAAGCTGGGGGAGGTTGGAGGAGTCGAGGGCCAGGGTGCAGGAAGTTACGTGCCCTGGAGATTTATGGGAAATGGGCTATGAAGAGGGGTTGGAGAGAGGCCAGGCAGGCAGTGGGAGGTTCTGGGAGAGATCCAGGAGAGAGGTCAGCAGAGAGCTGGCCTTGGCAGCAACTTGCCCCTTGGTGGGTGCCTGGCTTGGCAAAGCGCTAGGCGGGGGTGGGGGGGAGGGGGGAGGGTTACTTAATTAGAGTTGGGTAGCTTAGATTGGTAGCTACTGAGACCCTCGTTGAGTCAGGAAGGGGTGAGGGTAGGTGGGGTGGGGAGTGGGGCCCTGGGGTGGGGCTTGGGCCTCAGTGCAAACCCCAGCCTCCCTTGTCTTCCTCAGGCTTTGGAGCCCCTGAATTTGAGTTCAATAAAAACCTTTATGTGGCAAAAGAGACTTGTCCTTAAAATGTGTGCATGGGTAGTGCCTCGGGCAGTGGGAGACGCTCAGTGATAAGTACACAGAGCCAGTGAAGCCATAGGGTCCTGTCTGGGAAGCGCTTTTATGTTCCAAGTTTCCCTGGAATCTTATAATGTGATGCTCAGGAGATGTGACCTGCCCGTATATCCCCAAGTTTTGTCTCATGCTTTGAATCCTGCACAAACACAGAGGGAGCTCAGTGTGGGAGGGGTGAGAGAGCCTTCGACTTTGTGGGATATCCCTTTCACCAAACACAGAGGGTCTGTCCTCGGGCCAGAGAACAGACCCTGTTCTCATAGCCAGGCATAGAGCCTGTGTTCCATCTCTTTCTGGCTCCCAGCATCTAGCTGTGCCATCCTCCTCCCCCCTCGCCAGCCGGAACCTCTGGCCATCAACTTTGTGCAGACCCGGAGTGACCAGAACCACAGAGTGCCTGCAGTCCCGACCCCACCTGTAGGGGGCACATAGGGGACCCAGTGAGAGGATTGAACAACTCCAGCCTTTAAGACCAACCCACCAGGCTGGGCCGGATTTGCCACACCTCTGCCTCTTTTTTAGGACCCCTGGGCCTATTGGGATCACCCTGCTCCCACCCTGCCTTTATCCTACTTTTCTTTCCTATCTGAGCCTCAGCCCTCCTAATACGTGGCTCTCAGGAAAGAATGGAGAGTTGGCGTCAGCGGTGAGTGTGTGGGATCCTGGGGTGTGGCCTGCCTTGACCTTAGCTGAGTAGGACAGGCCACACCCTGGGGAATCACCCGGCTGCCAGGAACGTCTTGAGATGAGTGTCTGTAAGGGCCCGATGTCTCTGCGAAGATTTTTTCATTCTCTTTCAGGGATAAGGAGAAATGAGTTCCCAGAGCTCTGACCTGCTTAAAGTCACTCTGTGGATAGAAGGCAGGTGAGACATTCAGACCACATCTGCCTGGCTCCATCAGCCCCAGCGGCTCGGCCACACAGGCAGGCGGGGGATTCAGGGCTCTATAAGGGCTCTTGGGCCTCGAAGCCTCAAGTCACCCCCAGCCCCACACCCATCCTCGGGGCCTTCTAACTTGTCAAGAGCAAATAACTTCTCCAACGATGTTTCTATCCAGCCTCTTATGTTCTGCAAGCTCTGGAAGGAGCCTTAGAAATCACGTAGTTTGGGGCGGCTGGGTGGCTCAGTCGGTTAAGCGTCTGCCTTCGGCTCAGGTCATGATCCCGGGGTCCTGGGATGGAGCCCCGCATCGGGCTCCCTGCTCAGCGGGAAGTCTGTTTCTCCCTGCCCCTCTGCCACTCCCCCTCCTTCTGCTCGCTCTCTGACAAATAAATAAAATCTTATTAAAAAAATAAATAAATCACATAGTTCAACACAGTTTGGTTGTGTTTGGTATTTTTTTAAAGTTTTAATTATTTTTGAGAGTAGAACATTATTTTTCAAGTAAAATCTCTCGGTCTTTTAAAGATCTTTGTAAACTTTATGCACATTTTTGTACGATACCCTACCACACATAATTTCAAATATTAAAATACTCCATATTTCATATAGTTCATATATGTAACTACAGATGTTAAATAGAACCGCATTTGACTACCTGACATATTACATTTGTAGACATTTACTTTAACATTTATTTCAATTATACAATTTAATTTTTGTACTTTGGGGTTGATTTTTTTTTCAGCTCCCAAACATGTTTGTAGGCCATTGAAAGCCGGGGGGCCTGGACACGGTGCTTGTGGTGCTTAATTGATAAAGGAGCCTGCATGCTACTTATGGACCTTAGCATTTAAAGCAGGTCAAGTGAGGGGGCCTCAGCTGCTCGGCCACCATCCCTCTCTTCCACACAACAGCTGCTGAGGTTCCTTCAGGTCCCAGGTGGGGCAAAGCAGCCCAGGAAGGGCATGCATCTTTCTCAAGGTCACGGCAAAGAACTAGGACTCCAGTGCCAGGTCTTTTGCAGTCCAGCGTGCTGCTTTGACCACATCGTCCTGCACAGCTAAACCATTTTTTTAAAAGTCATCTTTCCACCCAACGTGGAGATTGAACTCATGACCCCGAGATCAAGAGTCGCCTGCTCCACCGACTGAGCCAGCCAGGCGCTACACAACTAAACCATTTTTTTTTTAAGATTTTATTTATTTGTCAGAGAGAGAGCAAGCACAAGCAGAGGGAATGGCAGGCAGAGGGAGAAGCAGACTCCCCGCTGAGCAGGGAGCCCAATGCAGGACTCGATCCCAGGACCCTGGGACCACGACTCGAACCAAAGGCAGACGCTCAAACAACTGAGCCACCCAGGCATCCCCACAACTAAACCATTTCTATTCCCCACCTTTATCAAGCACAGATGTGCTCCCCAAAGTTCTAGACCACTTGCAAGTGTTATATCATGTTCACAAGAGCTCTGAGGGATATACCATTATTATTCCCATTTTACAGATGAAGAAGTGAGTCCCAGAGAAGGTAAGTAATGGCCCCCCCTGGCACAGCTGCGAAGCAGCAGAGCCTGGACTCAAACCTGACTAGTTTTGACCATTTTCCCAATGATACTAAGGTGTTACTTTTTCACTCTGTGCCAAGAGGATGGTGTTTTCTAGAGGCTACATGGCCTGTGAGAACATATGTCATCATTCGGACAGCTTGTGAGCAATGTGGACTTGGGTCTCCATATGTTTTAAATTTTTCTCCATTTGAATTTCTAACTGGACAAACACCAATAGGTATAACCCATATAAACAAAAAGTCTGGGGATCTTTAATTTTTAAGAGTATAAAGAGGTCCTGAGCCCAAAACATGTGAAGGCCACTGAATCAAACACTTATTGAATGTCTTCTTTGTTGCCAGCCCTGGGGAGGGGTCAGTGTTGGTAACACAAGTGAGCAAAGACTGAATCTTGCCTTCTAGAACCTCCCAGTCTTGAGAGAGGAGCCCACACCGTGTTATGTGTTCTGAAGGGGTATAAAGTGAAGATGAAATGGGTCATTTTGTCTAGGAACTGAGGGGATGAGAAAAGCTTGGAAGTGCTTTGAAGTAGGAAGATTTTATTTATTTATTTATTTATTTATTTTAAAGATTTTATTTATTTGAGAGAGAGAATGAGATATATATATAGAGAGAGAGCATGAGGGTCAGAGGGAGAAGCAGACTCCCTGCTGAGCAGGGAGCCCGATGCGGGACTTGATCCTAGGACTCCAGGATCATGACCTGAGCCAAAGGCAGTCGCTTAACCAACTGAGCCACCTAGGCGCCCCTGAAGTAGGAAGATTTTAAAGGATAGAAAGGGGCTGGAATTGGATGCGCTGGCAAGGGGAACAGCATTTGCAAAGACACAGGCGGTGAAGGACATGTAGGTAATTGAGGATGGGAGCTCTTAAGGGAGTGGGGATATAGATTCCTGGGCAGGTCTGTTCCTGAAATGAAGCTCCCAGATTTTCTGTGCTATTTTGCTCCCAACCCTGATGAAAATATTCACTTTTTGCATGTGTGTGTGTGTGTGTGTGACAGAGCATCACCGATGTAAGAGAGCCCTCCCCATCACTCTCCAGCCTGCTATCCTGTTTTATCTTCTTCACAAACCCCTCGCCCACGTGGAATCACATTTCTACCTTTTCACTCTGTTTTCCCACTGGGTTGATGCTTCCTGGGGGCAGGGACTTGTCTGTCATGTTCATCACCGTGCCCTCGGGGCACAGAGCAGGCTCTGACACAGAACTCTCAAGAAATACTGCGTGAATCCATAGAAGCCGACGGGCTTCACGAGACCTATGGATAACTTCATGCATTTTTAGCATTTCTGTGATATTTCTGACCATTATAACCCTTTTTCTCCCTCTCTGGGAAAATGGGCCTCACTTCTTCCTTCCAGAGGTCTTTCTTATGAGCCAGCCCCATGGTTCCTTGGGTGCTGGACCAGAAGGGGGTTGAGGAGGTGGAAGAGGCCGGCAGGCTCTGAAATACTGTTCTGGGTCTTGTGTGCCAGGCTTGAGAACGTTCGCTTACACCCTGTAAGCAGAAGGGAGCCCTCAAAGGTCACTGCTTGGGAGACCAAATGCTTCTCAGCAACCAGTGCTGGACCCAGAGAGCTGGGCTGAGAATTACTCCCTATTCTGTGCCCCCCGCCGCTCCCGGGGTCCTACTGACCACAAGAGGGCAGCAGCGAGGAGCCCCTCTGTCCCTCCTAAAGGTGGGGGCCTTGGGAATCAAGCCCCACCAATCGTTTTTTTAGAAAAAGGCCAGGGAGGGTCTATTCTCACACCTTAATGAATTGTCAATGCCTTATGCAGGTCAGTCTCTGAGGGTTGTCATAACAAAAAAGACAAAGAAAAAAGAAAAGAAAAAAGAGAACAGCTGTTTGGGTCCCACTTAGAGAAAGGGTTGAGAAGGAAATGTTCATTTAACTGAGCCAGGCCAGAATGGGGCACCAGCATAAAAACATCACAAAATTGGATGGACTTTCCCATTTATGGGGTAAACACAGGCAGGCACTGTGTCTGGTGCCGGGAGCCAGGTGGACAGACATGACGGGCGCCTTGAGCTCACAGCCTCCCAGTGGGGGCCACGGTGGGGCGTGGGGCGTCCCCGTGGGGGCTGTGGAGCAAGGAGGCCAGAGCCTGGGGAAAGATCGAGCCTTGAAAGGTGGAGACGCCATGGGCCCACCCAAAAGTTTTCTCCGTCTTCCTACAGACACCCTCCCTAGTTTGGTGAAATTGCGTCGGGCGCCTACTGTGGCCGGCTCTGTGATGTCACCAAGGTGAACATGACCGGTATGGTCCCTACCCCCACCGAGTCCATGGCTGGATTTGAGAGATGAACATTAAGTAGCAAACATAATCCACGCTATGAGGGAGAGTGCAGGTGAGGGTAAGCATGTGTGATATGGGAACCCCTTTGGGGCGGGGGTGAGGGCGGGGGCTGCCCTGAGGCAGTTCTACTGGAGCTGAGATAGAAGGCTGAGTGAAAGTCGGTCAGGGAAAGGGCTGGAGAGG